GTGTTTCATCACGGACTGATCACTGTGCCCATGCCCACCACCGTGCCCATGCCCACCACCGTGCCCATGCCCATCACCATGCATCGCATCCCACGCGCGACCCTCCCTCGCGGTGCCTGCACCCCACCCTACCATCCTCCCAGGCGTTCAGCATGCTTCGTGGCCACACGGCCGCCCTGCAGCAGATCGTCATCATCACGGACGGGCCGGTGAGGGCGGAGCGCCGGGTGTGCCGCTTCGTGCAGGACGCGCTCGCGGACTGGGGGCCCAACGCCCCGCGCATCTTCACCTTCGGCATCGGTACGTGTGTAGAGATCCCTCTGCATCAGCTCACCCCGTCTCTTCTCCTAGTCTTGAGATTGCCCCCGCGGCTTGCTTTTGAGTCAACTCAAAAGCAGGCTTGCCCCATTGGCATGCACTTTACGGTGCCGGTTGACAACAGCCTAGGGGCCTCGCTTGGCGGCTTTTCCTTGGCGGCCCGCGGCATCACGAAGAGAATGCCAAGGGAAGGGGGCTCGCTGCCTGCTGGGCCGATCAGATATTGGAGACAGGGGCGAGATCCGTGTTTTGGGAGACAGACTCAGGGGAGACTACAACGAGGGGAGACTAAGGTCGATTCATGCACTTGAAGTGGATTGTGGTTCGTTATGTGGCCACCCCAACTTCCAGACCTTGTGGGCCTTTTCCATTCATTCTGACCCAAATCTCCTTTGTTAACCCATGAGGTTTACTCTACTACTCTGTAAGCATGCACGATCCATTTATACGCACCCGGAATGCCCCTCGGTATTCGTGCCACATGCGGACCACATGGTCACCAGCCACATGGGAACCATGTGGTGATGCGGACAGACAACTACATGCATGTGTGCTGGCCTCTGATCCATCCCATGCGCCCCAACCAGGCCCGTCAGTGAATCTCTACTTCCTCACGTGGCTCGCTGCTGTCACCCGAGGCTCCTCTCAGGTCACCCGCAATCCAGGTACCACCTGCAATCCAGGTACCACCCGCAATCCAGATACCACCCGCAATCCAGGTACCGCCTGCAATCCAGATACCACCCGCAATCCAGGTACCACCCGCAATCCAGATACCGCCTGCGATCCAGGTACCACCCGCAATCCAGATACCACCCGCAATCCAGGTACCACCTGCAATCCAGGTACCACCCGCAATCCAGATACCACCCGCAATCCAGGTACCACCGGCAATCCAGGTACCACCGGCAATCCAGGTACCACCGGCAATCCAGGTACCACCGGCAATCCTGGTACCACCGGCAATCCTGGTACCACCGGCAATCCTGGTACTGCGTTCTTGTGTCTGTATTTCGTTTCTTTACGTCTTCCCCATCCATATTTCCCACCCCCCTACGCTCCCTGTTTCCCCTTGGTACTTTGTTTGGTGTACTCCTTCCCTCATCCTAGGCCCCCAACCCCTTGTCCCCCCTCTTTCCTGTCCCTATCTTTTTCCCCTATCCTTCTCAACCCCCCTTCCGCCCACCCCTCCCCACCCCCCTCCCCCAGGCAGCGTGCGCCGGCGCCTGGATCGAATGCTGCAGGCGGTGGCCCAACCTCTCGTCACCAATATTGCCATCCGGGACCTGCCGCCCGGCTGCGAGGTAACACCTGCCGCCTGGCAGCAGGGTAACACATGCCGCCCGGCTGCGAGGTAACACCTGCCGCCCGGCTGCGAGGTAACACTTGATGGGACCTTTAGTCCTCTGGACCTACCACCTGGCTGCGAGGCAAACGAGAAAAATCCCCAGCCACACTGTCAGTCCAGGGAGTAACACCTCCCCCACCCCCCCCTGCCTGCGAGGTTCTACCCGAGCTCACGTGGAGGGTAACACCTGTCGTCAGGGAGTTACCTCGCAATCTCCTCGCAGCGCTTTGCCTCCCCTCTCTCTGCCCCTTCTCACAAAATCTTTGAAAATCGAGTCCTGTGCCGGGAATCAGCAGATATACGAGACACACCCATGCAGCGTCTCCCTCTTACCGCACCACACCTGCTCACCTCACCGTGCACCTCAACCCTCTCTCCCGCCCATGCCACCTGTACCCGTACCCCATCCTGTGCCCCACCCCGTACTTTTTCGTGTGGCACAGACTGGCTCAGATTGCGGGCCTTGCAATCATCGTGCACCCCTCCTACCGCACCTGCCCGCCTCACCATGCGCCTCACCCCTCTCCCCCGCCCCCACCAGCTGTACTGTACCCGTACCCCATCCCAGACCTGTACGCGTGTGCGCGTGGAGTTGGTTGGTACTAAGGCATCCTTCACCTCCCTATCGTCTCCTGCCCCTGCCAGCTGTATCCATACCCCATCCCGGACCTGTACGCGGCGGCGCCCGTGGTGGTGACGGGCAAGATGGGCGACGATGCAGGGGAGGGGGGAGGCGGGGTGCCGCTGCACGTGGAGCTGAGGGGCGTGCTGGCCAGCGGCGCACCCTGGAAGTTCAGAGCTGCTCTCTCCGATGCCGGCAACCTGCCCCTCTGCTCTGTATGCCGGCAACCTGCCCCTCTGCTCTGTATGCCGGCAAACTGCCCCTCTGCTCTGTATGCCGGCAAACTGCCCCTCTGCTCTGTATGCCGGCAACCTGCCCCTCTGCTCTGTATGCCGGCAACCTGCCCCTCTGCTCTGTATGCCGGCAACCTGCCCCTCTGCTCTGTATGCCGGCAACCTGCCCCTCTGCTCTGTATGCCGGCAACCTGCCCCTCTGCTCTGTATGCCGGCAACCTGCCCCTCTGCTCTGTATGCCGGCAACCTGCCCCTCTGCTCTGTATGCCGTCAACCTGCCCCTCTGATCTGTATGCCGTCAACCTGCCCCTCTGCTCTGTATGCCGTCAACCTGCCCCTCTGCTCTGTACGCCGGCAACCTGACCCTCTGATCTGTATGCCGTCAACCTGCCCCTCTGCTCTGTACGCCGGCAACCTGCCCCACTGCTCTGTACGCTGCGGTTATCTCTCCCTCATCGCTTCAACTCATTCTTCTGTGGCCAGCTATTCCTCCCTCCATCACGCTCTTTTCCTCCTCGCTACCACTACCCCCCCTCTCTTCCCGTTCACCTGCACTGCAAAGAGCGGGAGCACATCCCCTCACCTGCTTCTCACCACTCGCACATCCCTCTCACTCACCTCGTCCTCTCCCCTGCCTCTCGCCACTCGCTTATCCCTCTCACCACACCGCAACCCTCCGCACCCACGTGGCACCAGGTGGGGGCGCGCGAGCAGGTGGACATCCTCACAGCCGAGGCGTGGCTCCACGGCAACAAGCAGCTGGCGCACGAGGTATGCTTTGCACCACTGGCCATATGTGTGTGACGTGATGGGTGCTGTGTGGTGCTTTGTGGTCCTTCCATGCATTGCAAGCAGGTGGACATTCCATCCGCTGATGCGTGCCTGCACGGCAACAAGCAGCTGGAAGAGGCGGTGTGTCATGTGTTCCATGCTGTGGACATGTGTTCCATGCTGTGTGTCATGTGTTCCATGCTGTGTGCCATGTGTTCCATGCTGTGTGTCATGTGTTCCATGCTGTGTGTCATGTGTTCCATGCTCTGTGTCATGTGTGTTCCATGCTGTGTGTCATGTGTGTTCCATGCTGTGTGTCATGTGTGTTCCATGCTGTGTGTCATGTGTGTTCCATGCTGTGTGACATGTGTTCCATGCTGTGTGACATGTGTTCCATGCTGTGTGACATGTGTTCCATGCTGTGTGACATGTGTTCCATGCTGCGTGACATGTGTTCCATGCTGTGTGCCATGAGTACCATGCTGGGCCATATGGTGCGTCTTGTGACGTGATGGGTGTCATGTCTTGCTGTGCCTCCACGCTCTGCTGCGAGCAGGGGAGCATGCTTACAACAGCCGCGTGGCTGCATGGCAACGCACAGCTGCAGCAGGCGGTGTGCAACTGCGATGTGTCCTATGCTGTGCATAGCATTCCGTCGGCATAGACCATTGCGTTTGCACGTCGATTCTGCAGCTGTCGGAAGCATCAGAGCACATGCGCATGCTGCGGCTTCATCATGCCTTGCCGATGCCTCCCTTGTTGTTCGCCTTCACGCCTTGCCCCCAGGTAACTGCCATGAGTGTGTCGGCCTCGGTGGTATCAGAGCACACGCGTATGCTGCTGGTTGACACCACTCGCCCTCTGCTCGATCAGATACACTGCGATTGCCTGCAGGTGCGGTGGTGATGGATGCTGATGGATGCTGATGGTTGCTGGTGCGTGCTTGTGCGTGCCGTTTCTGAGTGCACACATGAGGTGGGTGGGTGGGTGGGTGGGTGGGCGGCACAAGTCCTTGAGCAGCCCTGCGTTGTGCTGCAGTATGGTGTTGCAGTCATATTCCCGATGCAAGTCCGAGGGAACATCAGTTGGGTGCCATGGTGTCAATACGCAGGTCCAGTGGTGATGCAGGGATGACTAGTACCACCGTTGTCTCTTGGGCGTCATCGCCATCCCCTCGCCAAACACGTAATCTGCCGTCTAAGTCCCAATCCTCCCCTATCCCCCTCCTCCCTCTCTCCCCTCCTCCCCCCTTACCCAAAACCTCAGAGCCAGCTGAAACCTATACACCACTACATTCACTCGCCCACCGCTCCTGTCACCATGGTTCCGGGCCTCACTGCTGGGTTCGGAGGCACTGCGGCCCGCCCTGCTCCAGCCAAACCAAATGGCGAGGCTCGGGGCCAGCAGCAGCGACGGCACAGCCGCATGAATTCGTGTGTGTCAGTGGGCGAGTGGGAGGATGAGGATGAGGACGAGGGGGAGCGTAGGCACAACCGATTGCTCGTACCCCCGTCGTCATTATCGCAAGCCATTCTAGGAAGTGTGCTCTCATGTTACCGTCCAAAATTCAAGTAACCCTCAGCTTTGGCCGTTGCCCAAATGAGAATTTATTACTCTTCTGGAAAACTGCTCGCACTAAGAGCGTGTTCCTACGAGCCTCTTCCTAGGCAACCACTTCCCAGACTCACGCGCCCCTTGAGAGCGTGTTCTCAGGACTACTTTTCGGAGTACACGCGTTTCATATTTGCGTTCCACCGCTATCAACCACATAAAAACAGTTCGAGTCAAAATTCTACTGTGCAGATTCGTGCGTCTGAAAACCTGTTCGTCTGGAAAAAGGTTTCAAAACACGCCCCTGAATCACGGGAAGACATACCTTACTTCGCACTTTGCAGAGCCGCACAATAACTTTTCGCGTCAAAATTCGCGACACTGTAGTGGGAGAGTCTGGGAAGAGGTTGCTTGGGAAGAGGCTCATAGGAACACGCTCTAACAGCAACCATGGCACTCAAAGCGGTTGGGATTGAAACGAGGGTGCGAGGGGCAAACTCCCTGCCATGCATGGCAGCAACTTGGCTGTGCTCAGCTGCTGCGCTCTTGCTGCTTGCCATCATCCAGAAGGCATGCAACGCAACCATATCGTTGCATGCATGCAATGCAACCATCCAGCTTCTTGTGATATGGGTATTACCATATCTTGTGAGAAAGCTCGGCAGCGCAAGTGTACCCTGGCAGGCAGAGCAGCCTGAGCAAGGAGGTTGAGCAGCCGCTGGCACACAGAGGATGTGGAGCAACCAGCCTGAAGCGTGTGCCCCTCGCAACCACAGCGGCACACTGCTACCCTCTGCCTCCTCTTCCTCCCCTTCTCCCCCCATAGCGCCCGCTGGTGCCACCTCCAAACCCTCCCCTCCCCCGCCTACCTCGCCCTCCTCTGCCCCCCTCGTGGTATCCCTCTGGCTCTGCAGCGGGCTGGAAGGTGAACAGTGACTGCTGCAGCTGCTCCGATGCTGACGTGGCAGCAGGGGGCGTGTGGTGTGCGTGTGGTGGCGCGTGGGCTGCGTGTGCCTGCTTAAAGAATGAGTTCAAGGGGGGCAGAGAAGCGTGGCGTTTGGGCAGGACGAGTGAGTAGAAGTGAGAGAGCAGGGAAACAGAAAGGCAGAAGGGCAAAAAGGGAGGGGGGGGTAGGTTAGACCGCAAGCAGAGAATGAGCGCAAGGGAGGAACCAGAACCCCTGAGACTTACCCAGCCTCCCATGTCCTCCATATCCAATTCTGCCTGAAGCTTCCTTGCAAGTTCCTCATCTGACATCACTTGGGCTGAACCGCTCGCACCCGCTCCCAACCCCCCCACCCCTCCCCCCACCCCTCCCCCCACCCCTCTTCCCACCCCTCTCCCCGCTGCTTGTCTCCCCACGGCTTTCCGCGCCTCCCATTCCTCCAGAGTCATTGTCCCCTCATCCTCCTCCTCATCCCTCCCCCTCCTCCCCCTCCCCCCTCGCCCACGCCCTCCCCTCCTGCCTCTTCCCCGCCCCTGCTCCTCCCCCATCCGCTCCAGCAGCTTCCTGGAAGCACCCCTGTCGTGCGGGGCGAGCTGTTTCAGAGCAGCGGCAGCCTCAACTCTCGCCCGCTCCACCGCCCTCTCCCTCGCTGCCTCCGCTGCTGACCCCCCCTCGCCCTCCTCTGCCGCCCCACCATCCCCCTCTCTTGGTGCTGCACCACCTGCTGCTGCTGCTGCTGGAAGGGCAGCACCAGCAGCACCTGCTCCAGATGCCACCTTCCCTCCAGGGGCTCCAGATGCCACGTGTGCAGCTGTGTCCCCTATGTGGGGTCCTGCTGTGGCCGTTGTTTCTGCAGGCTTGGAGGCTGTGGCTGTGGTGGCAGGCACAGGCATGGCTGCAGGCACTGCTTGCAGGCGCGCGTCTGTGACCCCTCGGAAGGGAGGCGGGCCGCCAGCAGCACCAGGGAGTGAGGAGGTGGAGGTGGAGGAGGAAGAGGCAGTGCGGGAGGAGCGGGAGGAGGAGGCAGGCGTGGGGGTGAGGGAGGGGAGGAGGGAGTAGCGGCGCTGCATGTCCCACTCCTCATAGAGGGGGGACACGCGCCCACCCAGCACTTGCACGGATTGTGGGTCGAGGAGAATGAAGCCGTGACGGATGAATGGGTTGGTGAGCAGCAGCTGGAGGAAAAGCAAGGGGGGCCGGGGGGAGATGGGGAAGGGATGGGGAATGACGGCAGGAGCGCGTAGCGGCGCTGCATGTCCCACTCCTTGTAGAGCGGCAACACGCGGCTGCCCAGCACTTGAACGGATAGTGGGTCGAGGGGGATGAAGCCATGGCGGATGAGAGGTTTGGCGAGAAGCAGGTGGAGGGGGGGAGGGAGGGAAGATGAGAGGCAGGGAGGGGAGAAATAGGCGCGGAATGGGGAGAGGAGATGCGAGGGAAGTGCACGATGGTGGGGTTGAGGAGAATGAGGCTGTGGGGGGTGAAAGGGCTGGCGAGCTGCAGCTGAAAGGAAGGGAGGGAGGGGAGGAGCAGACGCAGGGGAGGAGCAACAAGGGCACACGGTTGATTGAACATTCCTCCCAAGTCTTAAAGCACGGAGCACACAAAGCGGTGCGTGGTACCTTGGTCCCTGGAGCAACAGCAGCGGGCACGTGGGGGCACGGGTGCACCTCCACCCCACTCGCATTCCTCTTGCCGTCCGTCACCCGAACGCGCAGCAGCCTTCTTCCACTGCTGCCGCTGCCTACACCACCCATGGGGAGCGCTCTCCCTCCCGACCCATCCACACCAGCACCACTGGCTGCAGCGGCACCAGCAGCAGCAGTGGTGCTGGGCGGCCTGTCGTCGTCTTCCCAGGGGTCGTCCTCGCCAGCGCCTGCAGCAGACTCGGCGTCCTCCCCGCCCTTAGGCTCGCACACGTTCACCACTGACACCACCTGGCGGGGGTTTAACATGGGAGAGGGGAGCCACGTGAAGCAAGGAGTGAGAAACACGGTGTCAGCTGCAGTGACTCGGAGTCCTCCTCCGAGCCCTTGGGGCTGGCACACATCTGCTGCTGGCAACGCGTGGCGGCTGTGGGCGAGGGGGGGGAAGAGGGAAGGGACGGCGGCATGTGGGTGGGCCTGCTGCAGCAGCGTCGGCGCAGCAGCTCGTGATGTGTGCGCGCTACACCAGCAGCTCGTGATGTGTGCGCGCTACACCAACAGCTCGTGATGGGTGCGCGCTACACCAGCAGCTCGTGATGGGTGCGCGCTACACCAGCAGCTCGTGATGGGTGCGCGCTACACCAACAGCTCGTGATGGGTGCGCGCTACACCAGCAGCTCGTGATGGGTGCGCGCTACACCAGCAGCTCGTGATGGGTGCGCGCTACACCAGCAGCTCGTGATGGGTGCGCGCTACACCAGCAGCTCGTGATGGGTGCGCGCTACACCAGCAGCTCGTGATGGGTGCGCGCTACACCAGCAGCTCGTGATGGGTGCGCGCTACACCAGCAGCTCGTGATGGGTGCGCGCTACACCAGCAGCTCGTGATGGGTGCGCGCTACACCAGCAGCTCGTGATGGGTGCGCGCTACACCAGCAGCTCGTGATGGGTGCGCGCTACACCAGCAGCTCGTGATGGGTGCGCGCTACACCAGCAGCTCGTGATGGGTGCGCGCTACACCAGCAGCTCGTGATGGGTGCGCGCTACACCAGCAGCTCGTGATGGGTGCGCGCTACACCAGCAGCTCGTGATGGGTGCGCGCTACACCAGCAGCTCGTGATGGGTGCGCGCTACACCAGCAGCTCGTGATGGGTGCGCGCTACACCAGCAGCTCGTGATGGGTGCGCGCTACACCAGCAGCTCGTGATGGGTGCGCGCTACACCAGCAGCTCGTGATGGGTGCGCGCTACACCAGCAGCTCGTGATGGGTGCGCGCTACACCAGCAGCTCGTGATGGGTGCGCGCTACACCAGCAGCTCGTGATGGGTGCGCGCTACACCAGCAGCTCGTGATGGGTGCGCGCTACACCAGCAGCTCGTGATGGGTGCGCGCTACACCAGCAGCTCGTGATGGGTGCGCGCTACACCAGCAGCTCGTGATGGGTGCGCGCTACACCAGCAGCTCGTGATGGGTGCGCGCTACACCAGCAGCTCGTGATGGGTGCGCGCTACACCAGCAGCTCGTGATGGGTGCGCGCTACACCAGCAGCTCGTGATGGGTGCGCGCTACACCAGCAGCTCGTGATGGGTGCGTGCTACACCAGCAGCTCGTGATGTGTGCGCGCTACACCAGCAGCTCGTGATGGGTGCGCGCTACACCAGCAGCTCGTGATGGGTGCGCGCTACACCAGCAGCTCGTGATGGGTGCGCGCTACACCAGCAGCTCGTGATGGGTGCGCGCTACACCAGCAGCCCAAGCAACGCCTGACGTAATGACTTGCAGAGGGAGGGGGGCATTGGGAAGGCGGTGGGAAGGCGGAGACAGTGGCGGGGGCGGAAGCGGGGAATCTGAGGGGGGGGGCAGGGCATGGCGGATTGGTGGCGGTTCGTTCCCGCCAGGAGTTCATCTATGCTGCACGACGAACCTCCCCTTGCATGCGGCGGAGCTCCGCGTGGTCCAGTCCAGGTCGTCTGGCAGACACCCCCACCTGTTCTGCCGCAGGTCCGAGTGTAGCGCACGTGCGCGCAACAAGGGGAGCGCGGGGAGGCAAGGGGTTTCATGGCTCACCTGCACGACGAACCTTCCTTGCAGCCGCCGTCTCTCCACCCGGTTCACGTCGTCCGGCAGGCACCCCTGCCCGAATCTCCGCAGGTCCAAGTCCAGCGCCGCCGCGCGCACCTGCTGCAACGAGAGCGGCGCCGAGAGCGCCGAGGGCGCTGCGGGCGGCAGTGAGGCGGGGAGCGAGGACGGCTGGGTCGCGGCATCGTGGGCCACGTCGGCGGAGGCGGGTTTCGCGGCCAGGAGCGAGAGCAGCGCGTGCGGTAGAACGTGCCAACCCTCGCCCTCCAGAGCCGCCAGTGCCGCGGGTGACACGAGCACGGGGGCCGCCATGCTGCTTGCTGGGCGCTGCCTGCTGGGATAGATTACGAATTGATTAGTACTACGGAGGGTGACGTTTGAGGCTCGCGCCTCGGTATCCTCGCACTGAAGTATCCTTTTGGCGAATACGTGGGAGTCACACTGCCACGTGTCCGCTGACCATCATGCGCGCAGGCGATGATTGAAACTGTCCGATTGGTTCCCACGCTACTTCAAATCGCGGAGAAAATGTTGCCCGAGCGGCCCAGAACGCAATGGGGAATCTGTACGCGCTAGTATGCAAGTTCAATTATGGAACAGTGCTCGTGCTAAGTTGGATGTGCAACTCTGTTTGATACTCGTTGTTATTCTTCACCATCACACAAACAAATCCGTGACAGAATCTGTGCTGCGCCCTTGCTGGGTGCGCACTGGAGGAGACTCGAGGAGAGACTCAGGGCGCATTCCCAGCAAGTGTCAGGCTCACTTGACACAAAGGGTTGGCGGCTAGGATTTGTACGCATCACCGCAGGTGCTGATGTTCGACCCGAAGTGGCCTGACACTTGCTAGGAATTCGCCCGCGAGCCGAAATTCTCGAAAGTCTCGTCTCGAGCCTGATGATGACGCTGCCTCGGTCATCAGGCAGTGTCAGAGCGAGTCGGACCTTCCTGGTCTAGCACACACCGAGCAATGCCGTCACACGCGCACGCCCCATCGATGCGGAGCCGCTCGCGCCATCGATGCGGAGCCGCTCGCGATGAGAGAGAACGCAAGCCGTCCCGGCGGCCGTAGGCCGTCCGATCATCGCGCGGCCGACCTCGTGTCGCTCGCCTCTCGATTTCATTCCCCTCCGCCCGTCGCCTCGCCGTCCCATCGCACGGCGTCGTAATGGCAACTTGCTCGCAGACGAGCGTCGAACGACCGGTCGCCGTCGCCGGGGGTCATTGCACGCGCGCCGGCTTCCCGTGCCTTGTGAAGCTGTCGCCCGGAACAGTCTCGCAATTCCCAACGCGATGATCGCTCGCCGTGGCCCCTCCGCGTCCTCGCGCGCGCACTCCCCTCCGCGCACCTCCTCGCGCTCCCCTCCCCGCGCCTCTGACTCCGTCTCTCTCCCGCCCGTCTCCCTCCGCCGCTTCCCCTTCTTCCGCCCACGCACCCGCCCCTTGCGGCGAGTCACCAGCCTCAGCGCGCTTTGCTGCGTGCTCTCGCTCGTAGCATGCATCGCCCTCCTGATCTTCCTGCGCCCCCGGCTCAGGCCGAGCCACGTTACACCTGACGCGGTTACCAGCACTAGCGCTGCTGGTCCATGCGACTTCGGATTAGACGGTGACGGATTCCGTTTGTCTAACCGAGCAGGATCGGTTGCGTGCGGCGCCCTGCACGAGTGGGAGTGGGCGGCAGAAGGCGTGGGCGAGAAGTATCGATCTGGTGGCTGGGCGCATGACCAAGGGGCGGAGTTGCGAGGGGGACTGCTCGGGCGTACTGCTGCTAGTAGCAGCGGCGAGGGGAGTGGTGGCTCTGGTTCGGGCGTAGGTTCGGGCGTAGGTTCGGGCATAGGTTCGGACTTAGGTTCGGGCATAGGTTCAGGATCATTGTCTGGCCGTGCAGGCGCCGCCGTGCCTCCTCTGCGTGCGTTCGTGAGCCCGTCCTTCTTTCACCCCTTGGCGTTCGCTGGCGAGGCGAGTCGAGGTGGTGGCCGTGCTACGAGTGGAGGGGATGGGAATGCGGACGGTGGGAGTGGAGCAGGTGGGGGTGGGGAGGGTGGGAATGGAGGGGGTGGGAAGAGTAACGCCAGTGGTGGAAGCAGCGCAGAATCGGGTAGCATCAGCAACGACAACAGCAACTCCCGTGGCCCCACCACGCCATGGGGCATCTGCATTGCCATTGCGCCTCTCCACTGCTCCTGCTCCCCTGCCGGCCGTCCTCTCTCGTCCCCCTCGGCCCACTCACCCGCACCCATCTTCGCCCTCCTCAAGCTCCTTCACAGCCACTTCAAGGCGTCAGCCTCCGCAGTCAGCAAAGAGCAGAGCAGGGATACTTCCAACCGCCCCTCCCCTTCCCCCTCACCCACTCTCAGCCTCCTGCTCTCTCTTGACCGCCACCGCGCCGAGGGGCTTCTTCTAAAACGCGCCATGCGCGCTGTGGCTTGCAGGCCCAGCTGCCGAGCCTCCGTGACAGGCCCGGGAACGCGTGAGGTTGGGACTGGGCAGAGAAATATAAAAAAGCAGAGAGCAGGAGAGGGAGAGGTGAAGGCGACTGAGGGAGCGGGGTGGAGTGCCGATGATGATGGCATGGAGGATGACGATGGGGACATGGAGGACGTCACGGATAGTGACAGTGGCACGGAGGGCGACTGGCTGGGACTGGAGGAGCTCTCAGGAGATTTCGAGGTGGACCTGGTGCAGACGCCTCCTGCCGTCTGCTCTCTCGCGCACGCACTGCCAGCAGCTGCCAGGCGGCAGCTCCTGAGCGCCTACTCCCCGCGCTTCTTCCCCCCTGGGCACGCAGCACGCCTCTTGACGCCCCTCAGCAGCCTCTCTGCGGAGGTGGCGGATGGACTTGGGCAGCACAGGGGGGCAAAGATGAGGCAGGGAGATGGACAGCCGCAGCAGCAGCAGCAGCAAGGGGAGAAGGAGCAGGGGTGTGGGGAGAGAGTGAGAGAGGCGTGTATGCGGCTGGCGTGGCAGCAGGAGGTGCAGCGCTCAGTGCAGTTCGTGCATGCTGTCAGGCAGTGCGCCGCGTCCAACCCACGATTCGTGCTCTTCCTGCAAGGGGGGGAGGAGGAGGAACGAGGTGGGGCGGGAGAGAGAGGAGGGGCGAGAGGGAGACGAGGGGTTGGAGGGAGAGGAGGGGTGCGAGTGAGGGAGGGGTATGACGTGGCGATGGAGAGGTTCCTGTTTCGAGAGCTGAGGGGGAGGGACTGGGGGGTGGTGTCCCTCTCAGGACGGGCGCGGCCAAGTGGGAATGGCTCACAAGCTGATGGCGAATCAGTCTATAACGAAGCCACAATGCTGCGCCCTGTGCGTGGCGTGCAAGCGCTGCTGCTGCGAGGCGAGGAGAGTCAGATCCTGCCGCTCTTGACTTACGTGGAAGACAGGTTCCTGGAGGCCCCTCTGGAGGACCTCCTTATAAGCTTCTGCGGTAGGAGCAACAAGTCCGCTCACCTGCACCACCCTCCGCTCTTCTGGCAGACCGTGGGAGGAGGGAAGCGAGGCAAAAGAGAGGAAGGCTGGGAAGGCTTAGAGAATGGGCTTTCACTGGAGGAGGGGGAGGATGGGGCGCAAGAAGAATGGGCGGTAGAGAACCCTTTTGCCAGCGAGGTTAAGGAACCCATTCGCACCGCACCCCACCCACCACCACCGTCCCTGGAGCAGTCTATGCTGGTCACTGTTCATGGGGGAGAGGTTCAGGTGGGGACTGGGGTAGGCGGTGCTGTGAGTGGGTCATTGAGTAGCAAGGGAGGGGGAAAGGGGAAGAGCAGGGCGGAGGACAATGGTGATGGGGGCGTCAAGGCAGAGGGGCGGGCAACGATGTGAGCGGAAGCAGTGGGGGCAGCAGCAGTGGGGGCAGCAGCAGTGGGGGCAGCAGCAGTGGGGGAGCACAAGGCAAGCCCGATCGTAAACGCTATGGAAACAGCACCAAGGCAGCGGGACACAGCACTAGTGGCAGCCCCGTGCAACCTGCAGCAGTGGTGCTGTCCCCCGGCTCGTTTGCCTGCTGGGTGACCCGAGGCAGCGCGAGAGGGAAGGGCGAGGAGCCTGGGGAAGGTGGTGGGACGAGAGGGGGGGAGGAAGACGCAGATAAGGGGAGGGGAGAGGTGGATGGGGGGGATGGTTTGGGTAAGTTGAGGGGAAGTGGTGCTGGTGGTGGTGATTATGACTACAGTGATGCCGCAAGCCCCGAACCTGCGCCTTATAACGAATCCTCTGCTGCTGCAGCTGAAAGTGCACCTGAGGCAACAGAGGGCGTGACAGCAGAGGGAGTGATTCGAGGCGTGGTTGTTCTTGAGAGCCCGCTGACAGAGCAGGGAGCAGTGGCGTGGACGATGGTAGCACCAAGCGTGCAGCAGGGAGGCCGTGCTGCTGATGTGAGGGGTGACGGGGCGGTACGGGGGCAGACTGAGGCAACAGCAACACGGGAAGGAAAGGACAAAGAGGAAGAGAAGGAATCAAGGCTTCTCACCATCCCCATCTCAGGACGCCTCTTTCTGCCCGGAATCAAGGACCAGCCGAACATATGGCCGACGAAATCCTTCGATATTGATGACTACACTACTGTAGATGCCATATCCGCCACCACAGTTTCTACCTCTACTTCTGAAGACGGCTCTGTCAGGCTGGCTGCTCCCAGCGCTGCTGTCAGGGGCACAGTGCAGATGGAGGGTGCGCTGACGTGGACTGACTCAGATCCAGGTCATGCCAGGCTGGCAGCGGAAGGGGTGGTGCTGATTGAGAGGAGGGAGGGTGAGGAGGGGAGGGAGGAGGAGCGAGTGTGGGGAGCGTGGCGGGATGTGGGTGTGTGGGGGGGTGGTCGTGCTGGTGGTGATGGTGATCGGGTGCAAGGTGCGGGTGGGGCAGATGGGGGATCACAGGAGAAGGGCATGCGGCCCAGTGATGCAGATGGGCGGGTGGGAGCAGCTGGGTCAGGGCAAGCTGGGGGCAGAAGCACGAGGAGAGGAGGCAACATGAGAGGTAGTCGGAGGGCAGCCAGGTTTGTGTTTGACGAGCCTCAAGCAGGCGCTCACCACGGCAGGTTGAGGGATGCTGGCATGGCCAGGCAGCTGAGGAGAGACCTGCTTGGAACGAGCGTTGACGGTGATGAGGGAGTTGGTGCTTTTGACAGCAGGGACAGTGACGGTAGTGGCGGCAGCAGCACTGCCACTGCCACTAGTGGCAGTCACCAGGAAGAGCCCACCATGCTGCAACTGTCATGTGATGGCATGGTGGAATACACAGTGGCCAAATGACTGCATATGTATAGCGTAGCAGCAGTAATATGCAATCTTCCGATTCGCAACAGTGAGGGCGTACTCCAACAAAGGTGGATCAGACTTACGCAGCAGAGTGCTGTGCTATAAGAGTTTCCTAACTTCTATACGGCTTATGTTACCATGATGCTGTTTTGCACCCTACTTGCTTGCCTTTCCATCGTATATGCGGGTATTTTGTATTCACTCACATGCGTAGAAGTTTATTTGCGGTGTTGTGTATGTGGAGGTTTGGTGAAGGTGAAGAGGAGGGGGAAATAACCCAAAAAGTAGTGGAGGTTGAAGAATAAGGACCTTATATGCTACCTCGTCCAATAACAGCAATCCTCGCGGAATGGTAACTTGACCGCTCACGAACGCGACCGTTGGTTCCCGCTGAGTCGACAAGGAGATCGACGGTCGCGATCACTTGACTGGTAGGAGCTTGTCTCGGATGCACATCGCACGCCCCTGACCTCCGAAATGTACAAAAGGTGGTGGGATGGCAGGAGGAGCAAGGTTTGGGCTTTCCCTGCTGCAGCAGTCCCAGCAACCGAGGCAAGGTTGGTGTCTCATTCTCAGGCCTCTGCGTGCCACGTTTCCCTAGAGAGTCGGCGTTTCAGCGGGAATTATGGTAGTCGTTGATTGGCCAATGAACGCTCGTCCCTGTCGACAGTCCGTATCTCGCCGGCGATGAAGCGAGCTAGGAGTAACCCGTGATTCGCTCTGAACGTCCGCGTTTCCTTTCACAGGGCAGTGCGAAACTGTGCTCTACGACCCGAAACAGTTTCGCGGCAGCGGCCTTGAGCGATCGGCTATCTCGCAATCGATTCGCTGTTATGCGCTTCGCCCTCCGCCGTGTCTCGTCCAGAGTGGGTGAAAGGGTCGGTGACGCATCGATCGACACAACACATTGTAAAGCCTCGCGGACGGCGATTCTTGAGGCGCGTCAACAAACATATTACAAAAAAGTTGCATCGAAAGAACAACCTTTTTAAAAGCGTGGCGGACGGGGAAAGGAAGGCGTGGAGCGGGAGGGTCGTGACAGCCGCGTAGGGTTGGAGATGCAGCGGGCGGCTAAGCGAGAAGCGTTGGGAGGAGCAGGTGGGGTGGCGGAGCACGAATGCGAGAAAGCGGCGCTGGAGGATGGGACAGGAGAGAGGGTTACGACCGCTACAGACGACGCTGAAGCAGTTAAAGCTGACGCCGCCGCGGATAAAGTTCAAAGAACGGACGCCACAGGCAATAAAGCCGATGATACCGCCGTTAGCACTGACGCTACAGCCGTTAAAACGGATGATACGGCCGATAGAGCTGATGAGGAAGCCGTCAAAGCTGACGCTACAGCCGTTATAGCTGGCTCTACAGCCGTTAAAGGTGACGCTGCAATTCCAATAGCTAAGGCCACAACAGTAGTAGCTACGGCCACAGCCGAAGTAGCCATGAGTTCGACAGTGCGGGTTGTGACAGTGAGGGCTGCTGGCGAGCATAGCATCCTGGCTGGTGTGGTTACGAATTCATGCGACGGAATGAAGGGTGCTGGCGACGAGGCGAAGGTTACAGGCGACGAAACGAGGGTTACAGGCGACGAAGTGAAGGTTACAGGCGACGAAACGAAGGTTACAGGCGACGAAACGAAGATTACAGGCGAAAAAACGAAGGTTACAGGCGACGAAACGAACGTTCCAGGCGACGAAACGAAGGTTACAGGCAACGGGACGAAGGTTACAAGCGATGCGACGGTTACAGGCGACAAAACGATGGTTACAGGCGACGAAGCGAGCGTTACAGGTGGCGAAGCGAAGACTACAGGCGGCGGAGCCAAGGGTGCAGCAGCAGGAGGAGTAGAGAGCAGCACTGTCGCGCTTAAGGCAAGCGATGAGAGAGCAGAGGAAGACACGGCGGAGCGAGCTGAAATCGAGGCTTCAGGCGAGGAATCGAAGGCTACAGGCGACGAGGTGAAATTTACAGGCGGCGGAGGCAAGGGCGCAGCAGAAGGAATGGGGAGCAGCGGCACGGTCAAGGCAGGCGCTGAGAGACCAGAAAGAGGCATGGCGGAGCGAGCTGACATTGCAGTGGCGGTGATCCAAGCCACTCCTCGCGAGGACGTGAAGGGTGCGGATGGAGGGGCTTGGACTAGGCATGTCACGGGTAAGACGATCGGTGGGGCAAGAGGGAGGGACATGGGGAAGCGAGTCACAACTTCAGTGGGGGCGATGAGGGCAGCAGGCGACGTCATGAAGGGGGGAGACTGGCACCGAGGCGAGGACGTGCAGGGTGGAGCAGAAGCAAGCATTGGTGGTGCAGGGGGGGTGGTGATGGAGGGAGGTGGAGAGGGCGAGGCCGGGCGAGGGCGGAAGGGGGGCCGGGGCAGTGAGGTGAGTGGATGTGGAGGTGCCACGGTGAAACAAGAGCAGACGGCGAGGAGGGAGGAGGGGAAGAGGGAGGAGTTTGGCGTGAAGGATGTGGTGGAAGAAGTGAGGAAAGGGAAGAGCGGTGGTGATGCGATGCGCGGCGGTGAGGAGGGCGCGAAGGAGGGAGACTTGAGTGGGGAGGGGAAGGGTGCGATGGGAGACTTACTGGAGGAGAAGGGCGGCACGGAGGAGAAGAAGGGCGGCACGGAGGAGAAGAAGGGCGGCATGGAGGAGAAGAAGGGCGGCACGGAGGAGAAGAAGGGCGGCATAGAGGAGAAGAAGGGCGGCATAGAGGAGAAGAAGGGCGGCACAGAGGAGAAGAAGGGCGGCATGGGGGAGAAGAAGGGCGGCATGGAGGAGAAGAAGGGCGACATGGAGGAGAAGAAGGGCGGCACGGAGGAGAAGAAGGGCGGCATAGAGGAGAAGAAGGGCGGCATAGAGGAGAAGAAGGGCGGCATAGAGGAGAAGAAGGGCGGCACAGAGGAGAAGAAGGGCGGCATGGGGGAGAAGAAGGGCGGCATGGAGGAGAAGAAGGGCGACATGGAGGAGAAGAAGGGCGGCACGGAGGAGAAGAAGGGCGGCACAGAGGAGAAGAAGGGCGGCACGGAGGAGAAGAAGGGTGGCACGGAGGAGAAGGAGGGCGGCATAGAGGAGAAGAAGGGCGACATGGAGGAGAAGAAGGGCGGCACGGAGGAGAAGGAGGGCGGCACGGAGGAGAAGAAGGGCGGCATGGAGGAGAAGAAGGGCGGCACAGAGGAGAAGAAGGGCGGCACGGAGGAGAAGAAGGGTGGCACGGAGGAGAAGGAGGGCGGCATAGAGGAGAAGAAGGGCGGCATGGAGGAGAAGAAGGGCGGCACGGAGGAGAAGGAGGGCGGCACGGAGGAGAAGAAGGGCGGCATGGAGGAGAAGAAGGGCGGCACGGAGGAGAAGAAGGGCGGCACGGAGGAGAAGAAGGGCGGCACGGAGGAGAAGAAGGGTGGCACGGAGGAGAAGAAGGAGGTGGAGGATGATAGTGGAGGGGAGAGGAAGGGTGAAGAATGGACGGCTGAGGCAAGGGACGAGGAAGGTACCAAGGGAGAAGGCGGGGCGGGTGGTCGTGGAACGAAAGGCGCAGTCGCAGGTCCACGGATGCGGGAGGGTGGAGGCGTAGACGACTTTGTGGGAGGAGGGGAGGGAAGGGGTGAGGAAGATAGAAAGGAAGATCAGATGGTAAAGGAAGATGAGATGGTAAAGGAAGATGAGATGGTAAAGGAAGATGAGATGGTAAAGGAAGATGAGATGGTAAAGGAAGATGAGATGGTAAAGGAAGATGAGATGGTAAAGGAAGATGAGATGGTAAAGGAAGATGAGATGGTAAAGGAAGATGAGATGGTAAAGGAAGGTGAGATGGTAAAGGAAGGTGACGGGGAGGCGGAGGACGGTGCAAGAGCGGAGGAATCTGTTGGATTAGGGGAGGGAGGTGGTGAGGGGCAGAGAGACAGCGTGAGGAAGGGAGTGGCAGAGGCTGCAGAAAGTGGAAACGTGGGTAGGCGGGTAAGGGAAGAACACGCTTGTGATTTGATGATGGGGAGGGAGGTGAAGGTGAATGGGAGGGATGAGGGGGAGAGGAGGGAGCAGGAGCTGAGAGATGAGAAGGGGAGGAGGGAGGAGGGAAAGGAGAGAGCCGGGGGGGAGAAGGAGAGCGGGGAAGAGAAAATGGGGGGGAGGGATGGGGGAAATGAGGGGGGGGAAGAGGAAGTGGGGAGAAGAGAGGAGGAGGTGAAGGAGGGGAGAGAGAGCGTGGAAGAGGACAAGGAGGGGAGCAGTATAGGGGAGGAGCGGAGGGTAGACGATAAGAGTGGATGCGGAGTGGAATGTGGAGAGGGAGGCGGCGTGGAGGAGGGTGGTGATTTGAGTGGGAAGGAGGGTGGTGATTTGAGTGGGAAGGAGGGTGGTGATGTGAGTGGGAAGGAGGGTGGTGATTTGAGTGGGAAGGAGGGTGGTGATTTGAGTGGGAAGGAGGGTGGTGATTTGAGTGGGAAGGAGGGTGGTGATTTGAGTGGGAAGGAGGGTGGGGATTTGAGTGGGAAGGAGGGTGGTGATGTGAGTGGGAAGGAGGGTGGTGATTTGAGTGGGAAGGAGGGTGGTGATTTGAGTGGGAAGGAGGGTGGTGATTTGAGTGGGAAGGAGGGTGGTGATGTGAGTGGGAAGGAGGGTGGTGATTTGAGTGGGAAGGAGGGTGGTGATTTGAGTGGGAAGGAGGGTGGTGATGTGAGTGGGAAGGAGGGTGGTGATTTGAGTGGGAAGGAGGGGGTTGGTGGGGGATTTGAGTGGGAAGGAGGGTGGTGATTTGAGTGGGAAGGAGGGTGGTGATTTGAGTGGGAAGGAGGGTGGTGATTTGAGTGGGAAGGAGGGTGGTGATTTGAGTGGGAAGGAGGGTGGTGATTTGAGTGGGAAGGAGGGTGGTGATTTGAGTGGGAAGGAGGGTGGTGATTTGAGTGGGAAGGAGGGTGGTGATTTGAGTGGGAAGGAGGGTGGTGATTTGAGTGGGAAGGAGGGTGGTGATTTGAGTGGGAAGGAGGGTGGTGATTTGAGTGGGAAGGAGGGTGGTGATTTGAGTGGGAAGGAGGGTGGTGATTTGAGTGGGAAGGAGGGTGGTGATTTGAGTGGGAAGGAGGGTGGTGATTTGAGTGGGAAGGAGGGTGGTGATTTGAGTGGGAAGGAGGGTGGTGATTTGAGTGGGAAGGAGGGTGGTGATTTGAGTGGGAAGGAGGGTGGTGATTTGAGTGGGAAGGAGGGTGGTGATTTGAGTGGGAAGGAGGGTGGTGATTTGAGTGGGAAGGAGGAGGGAGGTAATGTGGGTGTTGAGAAGGGCACTGGTGTGTGTGCGAAGGAGGGAAGTGGTTTGCCACAGGATGCGGGTGTGGTTGGGGCAGGAGGAGTTGAGAGAAGGCGATCAGACGTGGGCGAAACTGGGGGGAAGGAAGGGGGGGAGGCGCGAGGGAAGGAGAGAGAAGGGCAGGGAGGGCACAGGGGCGAGAGGGAGGTTGCGGAGAAGGGAAGGGGCGAGTGGGGGGTGGGGGGAGGAGGGACGGTTGAAGGAGGGCAAGAGAGAATGATGGGGAGTGGGCAGCAGGGCATGACAGTGGGCGGAGGAAAGGGGGACGAGGTGAGGGAGGGAGCGTTGACGGTGCTAAGGGCGGATGGCCGTGGCCATGAGGGACGGGAGGAGGAGAAGAAGGAAGGCAAGGACGAAGGTTGGGAGGTGAAGGGCAAGCCGTGCTGGGGTGAGGGAGGAGGGGAGGCTGAGAGGAAGGGAGAGGAGGGAAATGAGGAGGTGGGGCAGATGTTAGGGGAGAGTGAGGGAGCGAGGGTGATTGGAAACGCAGCAGAAGGCGATAAAAAACTCCAAGTGGGAAGGGAGGAGAAGGTTGTGGAAGGAGAGGAAAGGGAGAAGGTTGGGAAGGGTGGCGAGTGGTTGGAGAGGGCGGATGAGGCGATGGGAGGCAGTGGAGAGATGGCAGGCGAGGGGGGGAAGGAGGAAGAGAAGAGGGCGGATGGGGGGCAGGGGGAGGTGACATATGGGGAGGGAGAGGCGCGGGCTGAGGAGAAAGTGGAGGAGGAGGAGGAGACGAAGAGGGAGGAGAGTGAGAACAGTGGGCATGGGCAGAAGGATGACCCAGCAGAAGGGTGCGATGGGAGGACGGAAGGGTGGGATGAGAGGGCAGTAAACATGGTGGAAGAAAAGAAAGGCTATAGCGAAGGGGGTAGGATGGGGGGGAAGGGAGACGGTGAGATGGGGGGAACGGAACGGGAGGAGGAGGTAGAGGAGAATAGGGAGGAGGAAGTAGAGGAGAACGGGGAGGAGGAAGTAGAGGAGAAAGGGGAGGAGAAGGAGAACGGGGAGGAGGTTATGGAGAAAGGAAAGGAGGAGTTAAAGAAGAAAAGGGGGGAGGAGGTAAAGGAGAAAGGGGAGGAGGAAGTAAAGGAAAAAGGAGAGGAGGAGGAAAAGGAGAAAGGGGACGAGGAGTTAAAGGAGAAAAAGGAGGAGGAAGTAAACGAGATTGGGGAGGAGGAGGTAAAGGAGAAAGGAAGGGAGAAAGGGGAAGAGGAGAAAAAGGAGAACGAGGAGGAGGCTATGGAGAAAAAGGAGGAGGTAAAGGATGAAGGAGAGGAGGATGAGAGGAGGGACGGAGGGGAGGTTTTGGGGAACCAGGGACGCCAGGGAGTGGCGGGCAGGACGGAGGAGGGCAGGAAGGAGGAGGGCAGGACGGAGGAGGGCAGGAAGGAGGAGGGCAGGAAGGAGGAGGGCAGGACGGAGGAGGGCAGGACGGAGGAGGGCAGGACGAAGGAGGGCAGGAAGGAGGAGGGCAGGAAGGAGGAGGGCAGGAAGGAGGAGGGCAGGACGGAGGAGGGCAGGAAGGAGGAGGGCAGGAAGGAGGAGGGCAGGAAGGAGGGCAGGAAGGAGGAGGGCAGGAAGGAGGAGGGCAGGACGGAGGAGGGCAGGAAGGAGGAGGGCAGGAAGGAGGAGGGCAGGACGGAGGAGGGCAGGACGGAGGAGGGCAGGACGGAGGAGGGCAGGACGGAGGAGGGCAGGACGGAGGAGGGCAGGACGGAGGAGGGCAGGAAGGAGGAGGGCAGGAAGGAGGAGGGCAGGAAGGAGGAGGGCAGGAAGGAGGAGGGCAGGACGGAGGAGGGCAGGACGGAGGAGGGCAGGACGGAGGAGGGCAGGACGGAGGAGGGCAGGACGGAGGAGGGCAGGACGGAGGAGGGCAGGAAGGAGGAGGGCAGGAAGGAGGAGGGCAGGAAGGAGGAGGGCAGGACGGAGGAGGGCAGGAAGGAGGAGGGCAGGAAGGAGGAGGGCAGGAAGGAGGAGGGCAGGAAGGAGGAGGGCAGGAAGGAGGAGGGCAGGACGGAGGAGGGCAGGAAGGAGGAGGGCAGGAAGGAGGAGGGCAGGACGGAGGAGGGCAGGACGGAGGAGGGCAGGACGGAGGAGGGCAGGACGGAGGAGGGCAGGAAGGAGGAGGGCAGGAAGGAGGAGGGCAGGAAGGAGGAGGGCAGGAAGGAGGAGGGCGAGGGTGAAATGACAGCAAGGAATGAAGCGAAGGTGATCCGGTGTGGCGAGCTGGAGCGACAAGGGAGTGAGTGGGAGGAGAAGGAGACACACAAATCACCCCAGAAGACACAGGAGGGGTCGTCTGGGCCTCTCTCCAGCGCGGCTACCCACGACTGGGCTGCTGTGGTTGCTGCTGTTACCCAGTCTCCTCTTGCCGCTGCGCTTACTCCTAGCGCAACAAGCGACCCTGTTGTTGCTCCTGCTGCTCCTGCTGCCGCTGCTGCTGCTTCCGTGCTTCTCACTGCTGCTGCTACCCAAAACTGGGCTGCTGTGGTTGCTGCTGTTACCCAGCCTTCTATTGCTGCTGCTCCCCCTGCTGCTGCCGCTGCTGCTGCTCCTGCTTTTCACTCCCCAAACATCTCTGCTGCTCCTCCTGCTGCTGCCGCCGCTGCCGCCGCTGCTGCTGCTGCTGCTGCGGATGGTGCTGTTTCAGGCCCTGCTGCCGCTTCCCCCGAGGATCACACAGCTAAGCCGTCTGATCTTTCCAGCAAGGACGCTCATGGGGAACGTGTTACAGCTGCTGCTGCTGCCCGTGCTGCTGCTGGTGCGGATGCTGGTGCTGATGCTGGTGCTGATGCTGGTGCGGACGCTGCTGTTCCAGGCCCTGCTACCGCCTCTCCTGAGGACCACGCGGCTAAGCCTTGTGATAATGGCAGCAATGGCGCTGACCCTGCTACTGCTGCAGATGCAGCAGATGCTGGTTGTTCCACCGCTGCGGCCGCTGCTGGCGATGCTGCCGCTGCTAGCGATGCTGATGGCAGTGTTGCTGCTGCTGTTGAATTTAGTGCTGAAACGAGGATGGATATGAGGGCTAAAGTTGGTGTGCAGAATGCAACAGTAGATGCTGAGAGTGTTCCACAGCCCTCTCCTTCCACGTTCAACGAATCAGCTCCCACTCTTAAGAGAGAAGAAGTGATTCTGACTCGTGAAACTGACGCTGAGACTGCTGCTGCAAATAGTACCGACGCCGCTGCTGCTGATGCCGCTGCTACTGATGCCGCTGATACTGATGCCGCTGCTGCTGATGCCGCTGATACTGATGCCGCTGCTGCTGATGCCGCTGATACTGATGCCGCTGCTGCTGATGCCGCTGATACTGATGCCGCTGCTGCTGATGCCGCTGCTACTGATGCCGCTGCTGCTGCTGATGCTGCTGCTGGTGCTGCTGCTGCTGCTGCTGCTGCTACTGATGCTGCTGCTACTGACACTTATAACATTACTGCTGAGATTGCTGCTGCTTCTACTGCTGCTGCCTCCTCTGATGCGACTAAATCTCCTGATGCTGCTGGCGCTGCTGTTGCTGTTGCTGATGCTGATGCTGCTCCAAGTGCAGATGCTGGTGCTTCAGGTGCCACAGCAGCAGGTGCCTCAGGTGCCACAGCAGCAGGTGCCTCAGGTGCCACAGCAGCAGGTGCCTCAGGTGCCACAGCAGCAGGTGCCTCAGGTGTCACAGCAGCAGGTGCCACAGCAGCTACAGCAGGTGGTACAGCTGTGAGCGCAGCTCTCCCCCCAAAAAGAGTTCGCCTCACCACAGCTTATCTGCGGAGGATGCTCGCTGTAAAGATCAGCGAAGGAGGGAGTGTGAGAGGGGCAAGAGGAGGAGGAGGAGGAGGAGGAGGAGGAGGAGGAGGAGGAGGAGGAGGAGGAGGCAGTTCAGGGCGAGTAGCAGGTGGAGGGGGGAGTGCAAGCAAGGGCCGTGTGAATGGGCGTGCACCATCAGCATTGCTGCCACCCGCCACCCACCTCTCTCCAGCTGAGGAGCAGCAGGCTCTCGCTTTCCTCTTGGCCCAACCCCCCACTCGTTCCCCCTTCACTGCCCCTCCCTCCTCTCTTCCCTCGCTCCTTCCTGCCCCTTTGCCTCCTTCCCGTCCTCTGGCTCCCAGCCAACACCCGGTCACAGCAGCAGCGGCACCAGGGGCACCAGGGGCAGCAGCAGCAACACCACCAGGAGTAACAAGCTCCACGCCAGGTTCCACTGTACCATCTCAGATCTGTTCTCCCCACCTCTCAACTCCTCCTGCTCTCCTCTCCCTCCCACCTTCCTTCCGCTCTCCCACCATCCCTCCCACTGCCCTCCACGCACCAACCCTGCCACATGAAGCCACAGCGCCAGCAGCACAGCCACATCTCAACGCCCTCCCCCACCACCCCAGTCACGACTCTCTGCCCCCACTGTCTCCTCTCCCCCCCGAGCCTCTGCCTCGGCCCACACGGACCTGAATGCTGCTCCAGTAGCAGCTTCGGAATTAAGTTCGGGTGCAGGCTTGGGAGCACGCGTGGGTGGAGGCGTGGGAGGTTGTGAAGGAGGGGATGTCGGGAGAGGTGCGAGAGAGGAGGAGGAGGAGAGAGTGGAGGAGGGGAGGAGAGTGGAGGAGGGGAGGAGAGTGGAGGAGGAAAGGAGAGTGGAAGAGGGACGGAGGGTGGTGCAGAGACTGCAGGGGAGGAGGGGGACTGGGAAGGATTTCTGGAAGAAGATTGATGATGAGGTGAGGCGGTTGCTAATGAGGTAAGGCGGTTGCTGGTGAGGTAAGGTTGTTGCTGCATGCGTGTGTACTAAGGGAGGCTTGTGTGCAGTACCTGCATGCATGCTTGCCGGACGGGCCAAAGTTGTCTCGAAAAGCCTCAGTTGTTTTGTCGTTGCCAGTTTGTGTGCGCATGCAGCGGCTTGACAATGCTCTAGCTTTGCAAATACGTCACCACGACTAGCAGCCGCAGCACCAAAGGGCACTGATTTCTGACTCTATTCACATTACAACTGGTGCCGTGTGCCGACGGCTTGTGCTTTTTTTAGGGTAGTGATCAGCAGCCTTGCCACTGCAACCAAGCTGACCGGATGAGCAGATTTGGGGCATTGCGTCCACACCACATGGGTGTTGCATCCACACCACATGGGTGTTGCATCCACACCACATGGGTGTTGCATCCACACCACATGGGTGTTGCGTCCACACCACATGGGTGTTGCGTCCACACCACATGGGTGTTGCGTCCACACCACATGGGTGTTGCGTCCACACCACATGGGTGTTGCGTCCACACCACATGGGTGTTGCGTCCACACCACATGGGTGTTGCGTCCACACCACATGGGTGTTGCATCCACACCACATGGGTGTTGCATCCACACCACATGGGTGTTGCATCCACACCACATGGGTGTTGCATCCACACCACATGGGTGTTGCATCCACACCACATGGGTGTTGCATCCACACCACATGGGTGTTGCATCCACACCACATGGGTGTTGCATCCACACCACATGGGTGTTGCATCCACACCACATGGGTGTTGCATCCACACCACATGGGCATTGCGTCCACACCACATGGGTGTTGCATCTGTGCTCTACACGTGTGCTCTGCTTACCACCCACAACGTTCCTTACTCACCTATCCACTCATCCTTCCCCAATCTCTTCCTCTCTTGTCCACCCCCTCATCCTGCCCCGTCCATCAGATCGACTCTCTCATTCTGCCGCACCTCTGCCCGCCTCTCCGCTGCTCTGCCCAGCACATGGCCCCTCCCCCACAGCGATCCCTCCCACCCTCTGAGGCCGCCCCTCTCACGCCTCCACCACTCACGCCTCCACCACTCACGCCTCCACCACTCACGCCTCCACCACTCACGCCTCCTCCTCTTGTGCCTCTTCCTCACACCCCTCCGTTTCCTCCTCCCTCTGCTCCCCTCTCCAATCCCACTGTTCCCCCTGCACCCTCGATGCTCCAAATGCTTCACATCCCCCCTCTCACTGCACCCAGCCCAGCCCACTCTCATTTCCCACACCTACATGCCCACCTACATCCCCACTCACATCTTCACACACGGCCTTCCGACACTCTCTCTGGCCATGCCTCAGCATCTGGTGCCCCCACTGCGGGCCTGGCAAGCAGCAGTGGTCAGCCCACCAGGCAGCAGCAGAGGCCTCAGCAGCAGCCCCACAACCACTCGTCGCTGGTTGATCCACTTAGGTAAGCACCGACTCATGCCCACCCACCGGTGTTTGCCTTTGCCTTGCTACAACCTCTCGAACCAGCCTCCACCCGCTCACGTTCTCTCAACCCTACAATCTTCTCGCTTCCCCGATCACGTCAATTCCATACCTACCAACACCCCGTTACTGACTCGCCTCGCCCTTCCCCTCTCCTCCCCTGTCTTCCCACCCCACAATGCTTGGCCCCCAGCAGGCTCCCCATCCATCCCATCGCTGCATTCCCCTCCCTCATCCGCCTCCCCTCCTGCCCCTCCCTCGACTCCCTCCTTGCCTCTCTGCTCCCTCACTCAAACGAGACTTCTGGTAGAGAGCTGCCGGGCCAAGGGCAGGAAGTCAGAGAGGGGGCATGCAGTGGTGGGGCCAACAACGCTCATGGGAATTCTCTGGGAAGATATGAGGAGTTTTTTCTGCCCCCATTTCCTTGGCTCTCGAAGGGTGCTTCTGCTGCTGCTGCAAAGCCGGTTCGGGCACGTGACCGATCCCGGGCAGCTGAAAAGGTTTCTGGCAGCTTGGACAAAGAGTTTTCACAGAAAGGGGAGACAGAAGGCAGCGTTGGGATGAGGGCAGGCATGGAGAAGGATGGCAAGGAGGGCAGTGAGAGCACGCATGGCAGTGGCGGTGGGCTAAGTAGATTGCTAAACAAAGAGCGGAAGTTTAAGCGGTTGAGAGCGGAAAATGGGGAGGGAAGTGGTGGGCGTGAGGAAGAGGAATGGACGGAGGAGAGTGATGAGCGAGAGGAGGAAGCGGAGGCGGAGGAGGAGGAGGCGGAGAAGGTGGAAGATGAGGAGGAGGCAGAAAAGGTGGAAGATGAGGGGGAGGGTGAGGAGGGCGAGGGAGAGGGCGATGAAGGGGAGGAGACAGATGATGAGGCGCAGGGGAGGGGGGTGGAACGCCATGGGCATGAGGGGGGCAGTGGAATGGGGGGTGCCATGGGAGGCACTGGAGCAGGAGAGAACAGGGAGGAAGCTTATGAGGCTGATGACGCTGATGCGGCCGATGATGCTGAGTTGGCAGCGTTGGGAGCGCTGGCTGCTCTGGATGGCCGGGCTGCTCTGGATGGCCGTGCTGCTCTGGATGGCCGTGCTGCAGATCAGGCTACTGATGCTCATAACGCGGGCGGCCACGTCTCCCTGCGTGACCACACCCATGCTGCCCTTCATCCTCGTGTCCAGCCCCAGCCCCATGCCCATGCCGCACTGCCCACTCTCACCCATGCTCAAGCCCATGCTCAAGCCCATGCCCATGCGTCTCTCTTCCCACCGGTTAGCGCGCTCGCCCCGCCCCATGGCCCCCTCGCCCTGCCTGCACCTTCCTCCGCAGCTCCCCCTGCCCATGGCAAGCCAGGCCCGCCGCAGGGGCTAGCGGCACGGGGACCCGCGGCGAGGGGAGTGGCTAATGGGATGGGTAGAGGCGTGGAGGAACGAGGGAGAGGGGAGGGAGGACGAGGGAGAGGAGGGCGGAGAGGTGGAGGAGGGAGAGGGGAGGGAGGGAGAGGGAGTGGGAAGGGTGCTGGTGGGAGGGGTGCAGGAGAGGCTGCCACTCCTGCTGCTGCTGCTGCTGCTGCTGCAGGGGCAGCAGGTGCTCATCCCGCTTCACCTGCACCTGCCCGTCTGATGCACTCCCCTCTCACTGCTCCCCACCCCATGCCTCACGCTGCACCCCATGCTGCTGTTGCTGCTGCTGCTGCTGCTGCTGCTGCTGCTGCTGCTGCTGCTGCTGCTGCTGCTGCTGCTGGTGACACTGGTAATGTGGGTGGCTTGACGCCTCTGGTTCTCCCCCCGCCTGAGTTCAAGCCCAGGCGAACCTCCTCCCTCTCCTCCTCCTCACCACTCCTCCGGCCCCCTCCTCTCCTCCTTTCGTCCTTCTCTCCTCTCCCTCCCGCTGCCACTGCGACAGCAGCAGAGCCGGGCGAGGCTGCGATGAAGATATCTCTGGTTGGATCTGGGGAGGGGAAGGCTTTTCTGGGCGCTGGGAGGGCGAAGGGCAGAGGGGATGGCGGGCAGTTGGGAGGCGGCCAGGGGAATATTTCTCGCCTCTCTGCTCTCGCTTCGGCACTAGCAGGAGCAGGATCAGCAGGATCAGCAGGAGCAGCAGGAGCAGGAGCAGCAGCAAGGGGGGCAGGAGGGGGAGCAGCAGCAGCAGCAGTGGTGGCGGTGGAGGAGGAGGAGGATGCGGTGGCTGCTCTGGCTGCCATGGCCAGTGCTGCTGCTGCCCTGGCTGGTGGCCTCGAGAACGTGGCTGAAACACGCGATGCTCGGGACGAGCCGAGTGCGCGGGGTCCAAAGGGCGGGAAGCAAAGCAGCGCAGGTGCGGATCCTTCTGCCTCTCCCGCTTCTCGCGCTCGTGGTGCTGGTGCTGCTGGGGTTGCAGGCAGCAGCGGCAAGCAGGTAAGTGGTCATGGGCGTGCCAAGGGGGAGGCAGCAGCAGGGGCAGGTAAGGTGCGTGGTCCTAATGCAGGAGGGAAGGCGGAGGGCCCTGCTGGGAAGCCAGCAGAAGGAGCAGCAGCAGCACCAGCAGCAGCGGCGGCGGCGGCCGCTGCCAGAGGCGGCAGTTCAAAGCTTGGGAAGAAGCACAAGGGCCCTTCAGCAGTGCGGAAGCTGAGTGTGGCGGGCGCAGAGGGGGCGCCTGTAGCAACTGGAGGCAGTGTGGCTGGCCGTGGCGGTGCTGCTGCTGCTGCTGCTGCTGCTGCTGCGAGGCAGGAGGCGGGGGGCATGCTGGGCCACCTGGCTGCTCTGCTGGAGCACAGCAGCGCAGGAGGAGAGGGTGGTGCGGGTGGGGGGGCTGATGGGGCTGATGGGCTTACTGCTGGCGAGGTAGCAGGTGGGGTAAGGGGAGCGTCACGGGGTGCAGTGGTGGCAGGAGGTGGTGGTGGTGCGGGTGGTGGGGGTGGGAAGAGAGGGAAGGGTTCTGGTGGAGTGGAGAGGATGGAGGGGAAGAAAGGGCCAAGGGAGCGGGGCAGAGAGCATGCCATGGCACTGCAGGGAGCAGCAGCAGCACTGGCAGGGGCTGCTGCAGTTGGGCCTGGGGCATTTCAGAGAACCGTAGGTGCCACTGCCGCTGCTGCCGCTGCTCTTGCTGCTGCTCCTGCTCCTGCTGCTGCTCCTGCTCCTGCTCCTGCTGCTGCTGCTGGAAAGGCCTCGCCACGTGTAGGCCCTTCCGTTGCTCCCACAGCATCCAGACTGGGCGGTGATATCAAGGCTAAGGCCTCCCACACGGCTGCTACTGCTGCTGCTGCTGCCGCGGATCACACGGGCAAGAAACGTGCCAAGGCAGGAGCAGCAGCAGGGAGGTCCCCTCTCGCCCGCCCCCTTGCCCCCCCACACGTGCCTTCTCTAGATCGTGGCGAAAGGGGCGGAGATGGAGGGTTGGGAGAGGCGAACCCAGTGCGAGGAGGGGGAGGAGCGGAGATGGGTGCGGATGGTTGGGAGGGTGCAGGGGGCGTGGGGAGTGAGGAGGCAGCAGGGGGTGCGAAGAAAGGGCGAGGCTGGCCCAAGGGCTCCAAGAAGACTGGCAAGAGAGGTGCGTGCTGAGGGATGAAAATAAAAGGAGGTGGGGTTCAAGGGAGTTGGACATTCTGGCAGGTGGGTTCTGGGAAAATGGGAGTTAAAAAAGGTGGGATGTGAGGGAGGTGGATTCATGACAGGTTGCTCTCTGATTATCTCCCTAACCTGTGCTCCCCTTCCCCTGTTATCCCCTGTAATCTCCTGTTATTTCCTGTCAATCCCTATTATCTCCTCTTATTTCGTGTTATCCCCTGTTTATCTCTTGTTATTTCCTGTTATCCCCTGTTATCCCCTGTTATCCCCTGTTATCCCCTGTTATCCCTTGTTATTCCCTGTTATCTCCTCTCCTCCCCTCCCCTCCACGTGCTTCTTCCTGCACGCCAGGTGACTCCCCAGCCCCACCACCCCCTCCTGTGGCATCACCAGCATCAGCATCGTTACATGCAGCAGCGGGAAGCAGGGAAGCAGGGGCGGCAGGAGGAGCGGGAGCAGGGCGAGGTGGTGCAGGGGTGCCCCCCAAGGAGGATGCGGCTGCTCTCATGCTCTTCTCCCTCGCACAGTTGGCTGAGGAGGCGGAGGAGGAGGAGGAAGAGGAGGGCGAGGAGGAGGTGGGAGGGAAGGGGGCAGGTCGAGATGGAGCAAGTGGAGCAGAGGTAAGTAACGAGGATGCGAATGAGTTTGCAGCTGGAGCAGCAGCAAGCGAGGGCAGGATGTTTCGGCAAGGAGGCAGAGATGGAGAGATGGGAGAAGGGAGACATCAAGAAAGTGGGATGGGGAGTGGGATGGAGGTGGAAAAGGGGCAGGCGGAGGAGCAGGAAGAGGAAGACGGGGCGGAAGAGGCGGAGGAGGAGAGGGTGGTGCTGGTGGTGCCGCGAAAGCGAAGGCGAACCGCAACGGAGCCTGTGGCAGTGCGAGGAGCGCAAGGGGGAATGCCAGGTCCACAGGCACAGCGCCACACGCAGAAACTAGAGAAGAAGGGAAGGCAGAAAGCTCTGGGTAGATCCACTGAGGCGGAGGAAGAGGTGGTCGTCGTTGATTCCCATTCGCGCAAAGAAGGCACTCTGCGCTCTCACTCACCCTCCCCATCCCCACCAGCACACACATCGCCATCACCATCGGCATCACCATCGCAATCACCGATGTCATCACGACCAGCATCACCAGCTCGCAGCGGTAGCTTCGAGGATGCCAGTGGTGGGGGCGGTGCCGCCCTCTCCTCCTTCCCCCTTGCTGCACCTTCTGCTCCCTCTGCCACTCCGTCTGCCACCCCCTCTGCCACTCCGTCTGCGACTGCCACTGATGACAGTGACGACGCGGGCCCCTCAACTGCTGCTGCTGGGCGCAGAAGGGCGGGCAAGGCAGCCAGGAGGCGGTACTGCGAGCAGGACGAGGAAGAGGCGGAGGAGGAGGGAGAGGAGCGAGTGGGGGGAGCGGAGGAGGAGCCGGGGGAGGCGGAGGATGAGGAGGAAGAGGACAAGCCGAGGCGGCGGCGCAGGCAGAAGCTGCACCTGCTGCCAGAAACGCCCGTTGCCAAGGGAGGTGGGAGGAAGAAGGCTGCCAAGGGCAGGACGGGAGGGGCGGAAAGGGGGAGAGGAGAGTGATGGTGTGACGACAGTGGGGATGGGTGGGGGGAGAGGAGCTGCTGCTGCTGGGCGGGTCGTGGCTTTCAATGCCACTGGTCGTCGCAGCAGCTTCAGCTGTGACTCTTGACACTGCTGCTGCTGCTGCTGCCACAGGTGCGGCTCGTTCGAAGGGAGAGCTTTGAGCCAGAGCTCTGCATCTGCTTCCAAAGACGCCTGTTTCGACGGGAGGGGGGAGGAAGGGGGGATGCACGGGCGGGAAGGGAGGGGCAGAAGGGGCAAGAGGAGGCGATGGTGCACAAGGTGGGGGGGTCAGCGGTAGGAAGGGGGTCTTGTGCGCGCACCGTACGCCAGCTTTTCCATACATGACTATCAGTGGCAAGGTTTGCTGAAGCTCGTTGGCTGTCTTTGTTTTTAGGTGTAATTGAAGCCAATCGCCCCAATAGTGACGTGCATCAATGTATCAACTCATGCTGGTACTACATCTACTGGATGTACAAAATGGTTACACGACAAGAAGTGCTCGCGGGGTGCATCCCCTAGTGGTACACAAGAATAGAGACCCTAACAGAGACACCCTAACTGTACATTCTATCAGAAGCCACCAAAGTCCCCCAACCCTCCAAAATCAAACCCTCCAGCATCCCCCAACCCATCTCCAATGGCGTCCCCCACCAGCAGCCCTCCCAGTGCCCCCAGCGCCAGGCCTGCTCCCAGCCCCGCCCCTCCAGGCGCCCACCTCCTCTGCCCATGCTTGCTGTGCTTATAAGCCGTTACTGGGGGTGCTTGTAACGAGGGGTACCACGGCCCAGAGGGATGGGTCGGCCTTGCATAGGCTGCATACGGTTGAGCGCTGCCACCCGACTGGGCATATGGTCCAGGTATGGGTGGGGGGTACTGGGGAGGGTACGGTGGCATGCTGCTGGCTGCTGGGCTGATGTGACTATAAGGAGGTGGTGCAGGGTAGCCAGTGACAGGTGGCGGCGGCACTGGTGCTGCTGGTGCTGCTGCTGCTGCTGCTGGACGCCCTGCATCGGTGTGAGAGCTGTAGGACGAAGGCATTTGTGACTGCCAGTTTTGCACCTTGCTTGCTGCTTCTGCTCCTGCTCCTGCTGCTGCTGCACCTGCAGCAGCCACTCTACAAGCACCAACCACGTCAGCAGCACCGTCCCCCGTCCCTGTGCGGGTGTAAAACGACGGGATGGGCGCAAGCGGCGTCTGCCACCATGATGCTCCCCCGTCCGCCCTCTCGACCTCCGCCCTCCCCGCATCCCCGCTTCCCCCAACTCGCACCCGCACCGTCACCCATCCGCCCTGCTTCACGCGCTCGCCTCCCCCCTTGCGCCGGAGGCGCATCACAGGCAGCTCCGCGCGCAGCCACTCCCCCGGTCTGAGGAGCGCGCCGTCCAGCGCCACAGTCGCTGCACCGAGCGACTTGCGCAGGGCGGCGGAGCTGAAGAGCTCCACGCGTACATGCGTGCGCGCGCGGGGAGAAAGCCCCGCGGGCGGGAAAGAGGCGGCAGAGGCGGGGGAAGGAAAAGCAGATGCGCTAAAGGTGAGATCGGCGGAAGAAGAGGAAGCGGGAGACGCGGGAAAGGAAGCCCCGGCGGGGAAGGACGAGGCGCAGGGCTGCTGCAGAGACGACTCGAGCCCGAGCACCGAATTGTCCACAAGAAACTCCGCCGTGGTTTGCGGGCCGCAGCCCCAAAAAGGGTTTCGCCCGCCGGTGACGGCAGGCGGGAGGGCCTTCCAGCACGAGGGAATCGCGGGGAGGGAGACGAGCGCGCACGGGCTCATGCGCCCGAAGGGGAGCTTCCGCGGGTTGTGGAGTTCCCGCGCTGATACGACCTCGATGGATATCCGCGAATTGTGGCCAGCTGGCTGAGGTGAGAAGACGCCGCTCATTCTTTGATTCTTGAAAAAGATTCTGCGGTGGAGGAACCGCTGCTATATTAAAATCCTACGAACACTGACGAGCCTATAGAGAGAACGTTAAGAGTAACGATTGGTTCAGCTATACCCCAGCAGGCAGCTAGTAGCCGTACAAGTGCACAAGGATGCTTGAAGACAGTCGGCGGTTGAATCAACAAGCTTTCAAGACGCCATAACTGGGGTGCGTGAAAAAAAGGCTGGGGAGGAGCTAGGAAGGGGAGGTGAGGTGGCGTGTCGCGAGAGAGGAAGGGGAGGTGAGAGGAAGGAGGAACAAATGTGAAAATCAATACTAGAACAAAACTATTTGCATCTCATTCAATACTAGAACTCTATGAAAATCAACTTTTTATTGGTTCAAAATACAGGTCTCACGAAAAAATCATGATTAATACTAACATGGTTTATAGAAGAACAAATGAACGTTGGCAGTAAAAAAACATCCTCAAAATCTCCTCTAATATTCTTCACATAATAGTTTTAGAGGGGTACCATGTGTAAAAGTACTGAAGCAAACCAATATAGTCCGTAGGATCTTCAGGATTGAACTGCAGTGGTGCACTTCGCAGAAGCGATTGATTGGTCGATAACCCTGTAAGATTAAATGTAACTTAAAACCACAGGCTAGAAAAGCACACCAGCGGAGCTCTTGAAAAAAATGTTTCGTTTTGGGGCAGACCCTTTGGTGCGTTTTCTATTTTTGAAATGGTATGGGACCCGAAATTGTTTGTAATGCGAAGTACCTTTGCAACGTTATTGGTGCGCGACGATTGATTTGGCGCCAGTTGCTCGGCGGATCAAGTTGCGACTGACCGCTCACACGGCTCAGTTTTTTCAAGAGCTCCATGGGTGTGCAATAGGTTTTTAACCCGAGGTTTACCTGGGTCGCATTTTGCACAACCCATGTGGGTGTTCGGCACACAAGTTGCACAGTTCACCTCCACCCTAGTCGCGAGTCGCGGTCGAGGGAGCTTCGTAATGTGAAGCCTTAAAACGTACGCCGAATACTTCCGAGGTACAGTAGGTTTTTTTTTTTTTTTTTTTTTTTTTTTTTTTCCTTTCACCAAGTTGGCAAAAAGTCAAATGAGTCGCGCGCGCGTTTCCCGCCTCGTCGCACACGCGTCAAATCGGCGCCACTACGTTTCTATCATTGTTCAGCTGCCCAAAAACGCACCTCGCAAAATAGTGCTGGGAACCCGTTTTTTTTCAAAAGAGCCATCTTCAAGAACGGCGCTCTTGAAGCCCCCCCTTTGCTATTTTAGCCAGTGGTTTTAACGATGTTGATTATTAGCAAAGAGATGCAGGGTATCAGAAAGAATAATTGAAATAGAATGTGTGAGTACAAGGGTATATAGACTAGGGTGTTGTACCCTCTAAGGCACAATCCAGTATAGTCTATAGTAACGACCTAAGTTACACTTGACACACCCCCTAGACTATATAGAGGCAGTGCCTAACAGGGAAAGAAGCAGCTCAGGGCGGCACTACTAGTCCAGCCTCTGAGACAAGGGTCTAAAGACCAGTCAAAGGAGTACAGACAAGACAAGAGCAAGACCAGGGCAGCACGACTAGTCCAGCCACTGGGAGAGGCCACAAGGCCAGTCAGGGTAAAATATATATATAAAGGACAGTACAAAGTCAAGACCCTAGCAAGTGAGAGGCTACAGGAACGAGACCTAGCTGTACACAGTGCCGCTGATGATCTTTAGGCGCAAGTGCCTTCGTAAAGATATCAGCTGTATGGCACCAGAGGCCAAGTGTACTACGCGAGCCTGGCGGCGCTGCTGGAGCTCACGCAGGAGGAAGTACCGCAGCTGGATGTGCTTCGCTCTGCCCTTGAGTCGAGGCTCCTGGCACAGGAGGATCATGGCCCTATTGTCAGCGTACAGGACCGGGGCAGAGCTAGGCCGCTCACCTAAGTCGGTGAGCAAGAAGGTCAGCCAGCAGAGCTCCTCTGCTGCCATGGCACCAGTGTAGATCTCGGCCTCACAGCTGGACTGGGCAACAGACGAGGAGCGGGTAGCTCTCCACGAGACGGCACCTGAACCAAGGCTGAAGCAGTAGCCCTGCGAGGACCTGAGGGTCTCGACGTCGTCTGCCCAAGAAGCGTCTGTGTATCCAGTAAGGACCACTGGCCTGCGTCCTCCTAGCACTCACCCCATGCCCGATGTACTTGCAAGAGAACACAAAACCCTCTTAGCGGCAGACCAGTGCTGAGGTCGGTGTCTGCATGTGGCCACAAAGCGAGCCAGAATGCTGAGAGGGTAAGCGAGATCTGGGCGAGTGCAAGTCATCAGGTACATGAGGCAACCCACCAGCTCTGCGTAAGGACCACTGGGCTCTACTGACTCCTCACGAACTGGAGCGGAGAGCCTGTGGTCTAGAGGCAGAGGAGTAGGCTGTGCGGAGGAGAACTGAAGGCCGAACCTCTGAAGGACCTGGCGCACCAAGTGTGACTGAGTCAAAGTGATGGTGCGCGCTGCTCTGTCCCTGGAGATCTGCAAGCCAAGGTAGTGGCGCAGTTCTTCAAGGTAAGTGCAAGTGTGTCTCTTCAGCAGCTCTTCCTTCATGGAGGCTAGTGCGTCCCTGTCTGCTGTGGCGAAGACCAGGTCGTCTACGTAAACAAGGATGTAGAACGGGGTCTGGCAAGCACGAACGAAGAGCGAGGGGTCTGCAGAGGACGGGAAGAACTGCAGGTCAGCAAGGGTAGCACGCAACGTGTCATGCCACTCACGGGGAGCCTACCGCAGGCCATAGACGGGACGCCCAGGAGCCACTGGGTCCCAGGAGGGAAGGTGCCGGTGAAACCCTGAGGGCGACGCAGGTAGACCTGCTCGTGTAGACTGCCCTGAAGAAACGCAGTAGAGAAGTCGAGAGAGTGAAGCTCGTAGTCACGCTGAGCAGCTACGTGTAACAACACCCGAAGAGTAGTCATCTTCGGGGTCGGGACGAAGGTTTGAAAGAAGTCCACCCCCTCACGCTGACTGAAACCTCTAGCCACGTAGCGCGCCTTGAACGTAGGCGGCTCTCCAGGAGGGCGCTTCACCTTGAAGAGCCAGCGGCCATCAACTACGTTCACCCCAGGTGGGGGAATTGCGTCGACGTAGGTGCCGGTGGATCTCCAAGATGCCATCTCCTGCTCCATGGCAGCTATCCACTGAGAGGCCCAGGGTCCCGAGGTCGCCTCAGCGTAGGTGCGAGGGGTCGGGATGTCAAAAGCGTCTGGGTCACCCTCAGGGACTAGCAGCATGGAACAGAGATGGGGAGCAGCCTCGGACAGGAAAGCAAGCTCGAACTGGCGGTCCTCCAGGACGTCACTGCCAAGGGCAAGAGCACCCCCGACAGACGGAGGACCGGCAGGGTCAGAGACCAGAGCGGTGGCGTAGTCAAGGCGGCGGGTAGAGGCGAAGTCAGCGACCGCATCGACAAGGGCGTCAAGGCTCGAAACCGGAACAGACGGGTCGGTAACGAGAGAGGCAAGGACGCGAGGAACAAGAGGACGAGCGGTACGCAGGTAGTCAGACAGAGGGGGGGGAGCAACGACAAGGGAGGACGGTGGGGGCGACGGGAGAAGGGGATGACTAGACGCGTGGGAACGAAGCAACATAGGGTGAGAGCGCGAGACAGAGGAGACAGGTCGAGCACGGGAGGGATGGCGAGATGAGACGTGAGACGGAGGAGTCGGGTCAGGGGACAGAGAAGGAGACACAAGAGGGGAATGAGGGGGGAAACGGGCCGGAGAAGAGTCCGCAGGAGGGAGCAGGCACGGGGTCAGGGGACGGAAGGCCGAGCAGGTGAAGAGCGGACACCGGCGGGGACTGCTGCGGCGGCGGTATGACACCAACGCCGGGACCGCAAGCTGCTTGGCGGCTACCTCAAGAACACTCCACGCCAGCACCCCCAGACAGGGAGACCGCGGTGGACACGCGCAGAGACAAGCCACGGGATAAGAACGGCAAGCACGTCGGCCTTCCGCTCCAGGGGGAACACAGTGGTGTAGCGCGTGCAGTCGTCGACAAGCACTAGGAAGTACAGTAGCGCTCTCGACGCGGCCCATGGACGGGGGCGGGGCCCCAGACGTCCATGTGCAGAGTCTGTAGCGGTGCTGCAGTAGGGGGAAACGAGGAGGAGTGAGAGGCACGGCGGAGCCGGCCCTCGATACAAGGCGTGCACGGTGGGGCTGGGGAGGAGGGAAACTCGGGGAACGACCCGGGGAGGCCTAGAACGAGACCGTGCTGTGACATGTGACGCAGACGCGGAAGCGCAGGGTGACCTAGGCGGTGGTGCCAGAGAAGAGTCGGGTGAGTGAGAGACCGACAGGAGCAGGCAGCAGCAACCGGGGGAGACACACTCACCTGAGGGGGGGTCCCTGCGGGGGGGGTCACCGTGTCCAGTGTGAAGAGACCGGACACCGGGTCCCGGGGGAACGTGGACAGGGGGGCACCAGTGGCGGCCTTGGTACAGACAGCGTACCGCTCGTGTCCAGGGAACGTAGTGGTGACGCCAAGGTTCTTAAGGCAGCCGACACCAACTAGGTTCCTGGAGAACGAGGGGATGTGCAGTCCTGTGAGCGAGCCCGAAGGAACCGCCTGGCAGGGGAGGGTGGTGGAACTGCGGGCCACTACTGGGCCGGAAGAGGGGTCAGCAAGAGAGATTGCGGCAGGGACAGGAAGCGGTGTCAACGTGGTAGAGTCGCGGAAGAAGCACCGGGAAGCGCCAGAGTCGAGGGTGAAGGAGAGCGCGGCAGTGGCGGCCGGAGGCGAAGCAGCGACGGAAGCACCAAGGCTAAACAAAGCAGGGGATCCTACGCCTGACGCAGCAGGGGAGTCTAAGCAAGGCACACCTACACTAGGCAACAAGGGGTAATAAGACGGAAGCACACTAGAGTCATCAGCATACATCACATGCAGAGCAGTAACACTCTCATCCATATCCAGATCAAAAATCTGAACCCTACGACGAAGCAAACTGTGCCAGTCTGGGAGCTCGGGCGACGGGCCGAAACGCTGACGAAACAGGTCGTCCAGGCGACGGAAACAGCGGACCGAGGTGTGACCGATCTTACCGCAAACGAAGCCGCGGCGAGGACCGGTCTGGAGCAGGTACTGACAGCGCCCGTCACCCGAACCACCACCCAGCAGCCCACCACGCGCACCACCACCACGTCCAGCGCTACCACCAGCGCCAGGCCACCTGGGCGGGAGACCACTCGCCCGTCTCTGCTGCGGCTGACGCGAGTCCGGCTGCAATGCCGGCGGCTGCTGAGACGGCTGCTCGGTTGCACCTGGAAGGGTCCCCTCGTCCGCACCACCACCAGGAGACCCAGCTCCACCACCACCTACACCTGCACCCCCACCCCCGCCGCCACGCCCAGCCTTGGGGCGGCGACCCTTCCCCGGACGGACCTCTGCTGCAGCTGCAATCTCAGCCACAGCAACAGAACCGTCAGAGAAGGTGCACTGAGCGGGGGCGCAACCCTGAAAGGTAGGGACCGGCACAGTACCGCTAGTCTGAGCGATAGAGCGGTGGCGGGCCTCTATAGCGGACAGGGTGTCGACAAAGTCAGTGAGGGTGAGGTCTGCGGGGTGGACGCTAAGGAAGTGGTCACGGGCAGTGGCAAGACAGCCAGGGAGGTGGGTGGCTAGGAGGTAGAGAGTAGAGGTGAGGGGCGGCTGGTGGGCTAGAAGCTGTGTGGGAGTGCAGGAAGCACGCCAGGTCTCGTCTATAGTGCGCAGTGTTGTGTGATGTCATCATATGCTATCACATTCTGTCTGCCTCCCATCCCATATTTTTTCAACTTGCATGTGTGGTTTGAACGTGTGCAAGAATTTGTGTGTGATGTGTTCTGGAGTTTGGGAATGTGTTTTGTGTTATTTTGTTTGAGCAGGTTTTTTGTGATGATAGATCTTGAGAAGATCTTTCCGACGCAACGAGAATCCCTTCAATCGGAGCAAGAACGCGAAAGCTATGAAGATTCAAAGTTCATGAGCTTGCGTTACAATTGCGGCGGTTACAAAGTGAAGTTGTGGGGTGACTCTATATGGAGTTGGGACCTTTGGGGGTTTGGGAAATTTGTCACTCACTGTAACAGCTGCAAATTGGTTGGGAACAACCAAGCTAGGTTGGCAAGGGTGGCCAACTTGGATGGATTGGTTGGGAAGGGACAAATGTCAAAGTTGGGGTTCCTATAGGGAGGGAATCTTTGTGCTTATGGGGTTTCCTTGGTTGGGGACTCTCTTGGGACCTTCCCTCTCATCCCTCTCTTCCTATCCCAACCTTTCTCTTGCTCCTTCTAATTCCTTGTGAGATTCTTGAACTTTGATTGAACCTTTGAGATTGAGTTAAGTTCTCCTCCTACAGCTTACCCCCTAGTGCGTCGAAAGCCATAGCGTCGCGAATACTTTATCAATCAACATGATTCAAATTGGGAACGGTAGCTGAGATTAAGAGCTACAACATATCCAAGTTTCGCGACATTCCAACGGCTAGTTGTTTGTCGACGTCGTTTCTTGTGAAGACGACTTTTCTGTCCAGAATTTCGGATTTATATTTTGAGTAATTCTAGCTCCTAAGTTCACCTAGACTCCGTCCTTAATCCTAACAAGTGGTATCAGAGCAATATTAAGGACATTGAGAGGAGTCTACAGAAGTGTGAAGACCCTTCTAGACCCACCATGGCCTGTGGGTGTGCCTAAGTGGTGTTCTAAAGGTTGGATGTGTCTTCCGCTAAGGGGAAACTCTGCCGAAATTTCGTGGACGCCGACACTTGTGAAAATATCGAGGGAGCTGAGTGTGGACAGCAAAGGGGAGCTGAAACTCGTCATTTCTCAAGGAGAAGATGAATGAGAGAGGAGGAGATGCTAATGGAAGAGGAGCTGTAGCTGAGAAGACAAGTGAGCCGCCGCCATCAAAAGTTGAAGCTTTGGATGGCTCCAACTATAAGGAATGGAGCGGACGGATGAGGAGTGCCTTCAAACGCTACAAGCTACTGAAGATTGCTGTTGGGGAAGAGAAGATGCCGGAAGAAGGCGAAGCACGTGAACGGTGGATTGAGAAAAGCGCGGTGCTTTTCGACCTCATCCTTCAATCGGTCAACAAGGAGATGTTCGAGCACATCAAGGATCTTGTGGAAGCGGATGATTCGGGTCCAAGGGCGTGGAAACTACTACGCGATGTGATTCAGCCCAACACTCTCCCGATGGTGATCGTGCTCGAGAAGGAACTTGCTGCCATCTCCATGCGACCAGGGGACGATGTGAAGCCAGTCCTTGACAAGATCAAGGACACCTATGCAAGGATGGCAGCAGCGGGCAGCAGTGTATCTCAGCTGCAGCAGTGCACCAAGATCATCTCGGTGTTGGACAACTCTTGGGACAACCTCATCCCCACCCTCAACTCTCAGCAAGATCAATGGACACCTGAGTGGCTAAGGCAGCAGATTCTGCAGGAGGACTTCCGCAGACGCCATGTGGGAGGCGGTGCTGCCACTAAGACTGCTGAGGGGTATGGAGCTGCAGGGCGCGGCAGAGGAAGAGGGGGTTGGAGAGGCCGAGGCCGTGGGAGAAGCTTTGGCAGAGGTAGAGGCCGAGGTGACTATAATGAGGGGCATGGGAGCTCCAGTGGCAGGGGGAGTACCAGAATGGAGGGCACCTGCTGGTACTGCAAGAAGGTCGGGCATCCTTGGTTCAAGTGCTTCAGCAGGCCGGAGGGATGGTCACCTCCAGGCATGAAGCCGCCAAGTGGTGAACGCGCACAAGGTGGCGCTGTGCAAGGCTCAGGTGCACAAGGTGAAGGTGCACAAGGTAACGCCTATCCTGGGATGTATCTTATGGTTGAGGATGTGCATGGGCATGAGGGTGATGTGGGATCAGTGGGAAAGGTTGTGATGCACCCTCTCACACACTGGGTGATTGATTCAGGGTGCACCAGTCACATGACCCCACGGGCAGATTTGCTTGATGAGGTAAAACCCCCTGGGAAGATCAAGTATGTGGCAGCAGCGTCAGGTGCTTTGCTCCCTGTGATTGGTGTTGGGAATGCCAAGGTTAAGGGAGCTAATGGGGAGCTTGTGGGGCTTGGGAATGTTCTGCTGGTTGAAGGCTTGTCTGCTAACCTTCTCTCTGTGCGACGACTGCAGAAGAGCAAGGCCGAAGGGACCTTTGGACCGATGGGGTCCTGGAAGCAGTCAAGAAAGTGCAGCAGCAGCAGACACATGGCGAGGTGCTTGCTGGTGTGGATGCGAGTGCGGCATGGGCTAAGGCTTCATCAAGGAGTGGAGAGGCCGATTGGGAGACATGGCATGAGAGGCTGTGTCATGTGAACTTCCCTATGCTGCAGAAGTTGGTGAAGAATGGGAGCCTGAAGGGCTTGGAGGTGAAAGGGGAAGTGAAGGAGATTGGGAGCTGCCCTACATGCTTGGAGACCAAGTTCTCCAAGTTCCCCTTCAACAGCACTACAGGACCAGCCAAGACCCCACTTGCACTTGTGCACATGGATGTGGTGGGGCCCACAAGAGCGCCTTCCCTCTCAGGCAGCCGCTATTTCTTGACAATTGTGGATGACCACACTCGGGCAGTGTGGGTTTACCCTTTGAAGAGCAAGGGGGAGGTGGCAGCGGCTGTCCTTAAGGAGTGGATGCCTAGAGCTCAGAGGGAATGCGGATACAAGGTGAAGGTGATCCGCAGTGACAATGGTGGGGAGTTCATTGGAGCTGATTTTGAGGGGGAGTTGAAGAGGAAGGGGATCCAGCATCAACTGACAGTGCCCTACAACCCGCAGCAGAATGGCGTGGCTGAGAGGTTCAACAGGACCCTGCAGGAGGGGGCACGCACTCTCCTTGGGCGTGCAGGGCTGCCTGATCCGTTTTGGGTGTCTGCACTGAGGCAGGTCGCCCTTGTGAAGAACAGGGTGCTGGCTACAGTTGGAGATAAGGAGTGGATCCCATATGTCAAGTGGTATGGGAGTGCTCCAGCTGTGAACATGCTGAGGGCATTTGGGTGCATGGTGGTGTTTCATGTGCCTAAGGAGAAAAGGGGGAAGTTGGAGGCTTCTGGAAGATGGGGTGTGCACTTGGGGATTGCAAAGGATCACAAGGGGTGGCTGCTATGGGACTTGACCACCCAGAAGTTGACAGTGTCAAGGGATGTGAAGTTTCTTGAGTCCCTGTACTACAAGGAATGGAAGCAGCAGCAACAGAAGCTTCCATCTACACCGCTCATTGTGGAGGCAGATGAGGTGCAGCACCCTTCAAGACAGGTGGAGGTTGCAGTGTCAGAGGAGGAGATGTCTGGGGTGACTGAGGAAGGGGGAGCAGCTGAAGTAGAGCAGCAGCAGCAGCAGCATGAGTCTCCACCTCGAGTTCCACACCCGCCTGAGCGTCCTAGGAGGGATGTGCGCCCTCCAGTGAGGCTGACCTATGGGGGAAGAGGCAAGCCAAATGTGGTGCAGGCTGGGAGTGTGGTTGAGCAGATTGAGGAAGATGAGATCGCTCACTGCTACTGGGCACCAATCCCTGAGCCCAAGACTCGAGAGGAGGCTTTGAATGGACCAAATGGGGAGAAGTGGAAGGCGAGTGAGGATGAGGAGTTCGGGTCCCTAATTGAGAACGAGACATGGGACCTGTGTGACTTGCCTCCTGGAAAGAAGGCAATCACTTCCAAGATGATCTACAGGCACAAGTATGGACCTGAAGGGGAGCTGACCCGCTACAAGTCCAGGCTTGTGGCAAGGGGGTTTCAGCAGACAAAAGGGAAGGACTATGATGAGGTGTTTGCTCCTGTGGGGAAAGGAACAACACTGAGGGTGCTGTTAGCGATAGCTGCACTCCTGGGATGGAAGATACGGCAGATGGACATTGTGACTGCTTTTCTGAATGGGATCATTATGGAGGAGGTGTACATGAAGCAGCCAGAGGGGCTGGATGACGGGAGCGGCAGGGTCTGCAGGCTGAAGAAGGCCATCTATGGCCTTAAGCAGGCGCCTCGTGCATGGTATCACAAGTTGGAGGAGGCGCTGTTGGCTGGGGGTTTCAAGAAGAGTGAGTGTGACCCCAGCCTGTTCCTGCTGCAGGAGAAGGATGAAATCCTCATGCTCTTGGTGTATGTGGATGATATCCTTCTCTTTTCTGCATCAACTGCTTTGCTGGACAGCGCAGAGCAGATGCTGGAGATGCAGTTCAAGTGCTCCAAGATGGGTGAGGTGAAGTACTACTTGGGGATGCACGTGGAGAGAGATGTGGAAAAGGGTGTGCTGAGGTTGCACCAGAGGAAGTACTGTGAGGGGCTGGCTGAGAAGTATGGGCTGCAAGATGGGGGAAAGCCAGCAACACCACTACCTTCAGGGTTTACTGTGGAGCCATGTGCTGATGAGGAGGTAGTGGGTGATAGTGACAGGAAGCTGTTTCATTCGATGGTTGGGTCGCTGAATTATGCTGCAAATCATACACGGCCTGACATTGCATTTGCTACATCACGATTGGCTAGTGTGGTCTCACGCCCTAGTCATGAGCAGCTGGAAGCGGCCAAGAGGTTGGTCCGCTATGTGAGCGCTACGGCATCAGTGGGATTGGAGTACAGTGGAGTGAGGCAGCGGTTGCAGAGAGGTGCTGCAGATGTGAAGAGTGGAGAGATGCTCTTGAGTTGCTATACTGACGCTAGCTTCAACTCAGTGAAAGCGGATGGCACCAGCATTGGGGGTTATGTGTGCTTGCTAGGAGGTGGTGCTGTGAGCTGGCGCAGCAAGAAGCAGAATGAGGTGGGATTGTCCTCATGTGAGACTGAGTACATGGCCTTACACCATGGGGCCAAGGAAGTAGTGTGGCTAAGGCGTTTGTTGGAGGAGTTGGGAGTTGGTCAGGAGAAGCCGACAGTTGTGTTTTGTGACAATGAGTCCGCTGTGAAGCTCGCCAAGAATGCTTGTCTGCATGGGCTGACAAAACACATAAGGCCTAAGTGGCATTGGGTGAGGAGACTCCTTGATAAGGAGGTGCGGCTGGAGATAGTGAAGACCCATCAGCAGGCAGCAGATATTTTCACCAAGCGTCTGGCGGAGGCGGATCATTGGAAGGGCATGAAGCTTGCTGGGATGAGTGTGCATTGAGTATGCATGCTTGAGATGTTGGTATGGTGGATGATGGTTGGCAGCCAGAGGGGGAGATTGTTGTGTGATGTCATCATATGCTATCACATTCTGTCTGCCTCCCATCCCATATTTTTTCAACTTGCATGTGTGGTTTGAACGTGTGCAAGAATTTGTGTGTGATGTGTTCTGGAGTTTGGGAATGTGTTTTGTGTTATTTTGTTTGAGCAGGTTTTTTGTGATGATAGATCTTGAGAAGATCTTTCCGACGCAACGAGAATCCCTTCAATCGGAGCAAGAACGCGAAAGCTATGAAGATTCAAAGTTCATGAGCTTGCGTTACAATTGCGGCGGTTACAAAGTGAAGTTGTGGGGTGACTCTATATGGAGTTGGGACCTTTGGGGGTTTGGGAAATTTGTCACTCACTGTAACAGCTGCAAATTGGTTGGGAACAACCAAGCTAGGTTGGCAAGGGTGGCCAACTTGGATGGATTGGTTGGGAAGGGACAAATGTCAAAGTTGGGGTTCCTATAGGGAGGGAATCTTTGTGCTTATGGGGTTTCCTTGGTTGGGGACTCTCTTGGGACCTTCCCTCTCATCCCTCTCTTCCTATCCCAACCTTTCTCTTGCTCCTTCTAATTCCTTGTGAGATTCTTGAACTTTGATTGAACCTTTGAGATTGAGTTAAGTTCTCCTCCTACAGCTTACCCCCTAGTGCGTCGAAAGCCATAGCGTCGCGAATACTTTATCAATCAACATGATTCAAATTGGGAACGGTAGCTGAGATTAAGAGCTACAACATATCCAAGTTTCGCGACATTCCAACGGCTAGTTGTTTGTCGACGTCGTTTCTTGTGAAGACGACTTTTCTGTCCAGAATTTCGGATTTATATTTTGAGTAATTCTAGCTCCTAAGTTCACCTAGACTCCGTCCTTAATCCTAACACGCAGGTGAGCGGCCAGGTCGGTGACAGTGTGGAACGACACAAGGTCAGGGAAGAGCATGGGGAGGATCAGACGACCGACCGAGGCAACAGGCGGGGTGGAATAGCGCTGGACAACACCATCTAGGAAAGCCTGGGCAGTGGTGATAGACCTGAAGCGCGGTCGCTCGGACAGGGGGAGGGCATTGCTAATGGCAAGCTGTGCGACAGTGTTATGGGACAGCCAGACAGAGCTAGCAAGGGCAGCGGCCGCAGCGGACTCACGCTTAGCGGACGAGGGACCAGTAGAGAGTGTAGCGGGGGGGTCAGGGCAGGGGAGAGTACTGTCAAGATGGACAGACAGAGAGTGGCCATCCTGCCGCTGACCAGTGAGGTGGCGGCGGAGGTCAGCAAGCCACGCATCAAACTCAATCGGCTGGCCCTCAGCGTCAAACCAAAGCACCTCCGCCATCAGTGACAATAGAGGGCAGTGGAGAGTAGTACAGTGCGATGCAGTGCGGAGCAGTGTGGTACAGTGCAGTGCAGTACGGTGCAGTGCGGTATAGTGCGGTGCAGTGCGGTGCTGTGCGGTACAGTGCGGTGCAAGGCGGCCTAGTACGGTACCGGGGGGGTTCGTAGGGCAGTGCTGATCAGGAGGAACGGGCCGAACCCGAGGCGGCGGCGGCCTGGTGACGACGCGAATGCAGGAGCCGGTCGGCGGACGGCAGACGCGAGGGGCCAGCAAACGGTGGCAACGGGGGCCGGCGAGGAGCTGGTGCGATGGCGAGTAGAGCCAGCCACGACGGCGAGGAGACACGGCCGCGACGGCGGCCAGGGACAGCCGCGACGGCGGCTAGGGGCGGCCGCGATGGCAGGAGTGACCGTGAGGCGGCTGGAGACGGCAACGACAGCAGCTAGGGGCGGCCGCGACGGTGAGGGGGGGGGGGCGGCTAGGGACGGGCGCGACGGCCAGAGGGCCGGCTAGGGGTGGACGCGATGGCCAGGGGGCCGGCTAGGGACGAGCGCGACGGCCAGGGGGCTGGCTAGGGACGAGCGCGACGGCCAGGGGGCCGGCTAGGGGCGGCCGCGA